GCTCCAACTGTGATTTCAGACTTTGGACCATCTCCTCCTCGTTGAACTTCTCGATAGATGTAGAAGATTCTATGCCTCTGATCTGTTGCTGATAAACTGATATCTGTTGTGAAGCCTCACGGTGTATCTGATTTGCACGTATAGCTGATTCCTGCGCGGCCGACTTCTCGCTTGCCATGTAGGATTTCATCAATGCAATCTCCCGCTTCTGCTCCATGATAGTTCCTTCAGCTTGCCTCATCTGTTGCATTATAATATTCGACTCCATGTCTTTCTTCTCCCCGTACTGAAATGCGTTCATTTCCACCTTGCGCATCTGTTGGGCTTCTTCCTCAAACTTGCGCCATGCCTCAGCCATGTGGTGTTGGTGGTGACTCACTAGATGTCCCGACTGCTTGCTGGCAATCTCGCATCGTCTTTCCAGCTCCTGGATCCGGATGGTGCTTCCATAGTCTTCTTGGTTAAGATTCGCCATTGCTGCCGACATTTCATCAAGTGTCTTCTGATATTCCCCGATCTCCACCTCCATCTTATTCTTCTCTTTGATCACGGCGCGAAAATCTGCACTGGTGGGTGATTTTGACCTCCCACCCTTCGATGTCGATCTCACGCCCTTCTGCGACGTCCGTGGTGTCGCAGGCGAAGATGATGATCTTCTCGGTGGGGATTCTCTTTTCTTCGACTCCTGATGAACATCGATCTGCTTCCATGATCTTGTGGGAGTAGATATGTCGCTGAATAGCGCGGAACCTCCGCTCCCAGGTTCATCCTGTGAATCTGCAACCATATCCATCACCGCAGGAAGAGCCATCAATCCATTGGATCCCTCTGAGCTGCTGTTCCCAAAAGTTGCAGTACTTGGGCTCGCCGAAGACGCCATTGTACTGTGTAGTTATCGTTCCTTTATTGTCCCTGTACCCGCAATAAACCAGCTGTCTCCCAGTCCAGTGTAGAGCTTGTAGTTACGGCTGATAACCTGTCAAGAGACGGCAAGGTGACGTCCCGTGGGACGCTATGCACCGAACCCTCAAGCTGTAATACCAACCACGTAGAAAGGTGTATACGGACGATGCCGTTATAGCCGAACCCGTGTAAACGTTGTAAGGGAGAAGGAATGATAGTTACAACAGTAGTCCTGACAAATGCAGCGCAAGCGAAGTGTTTTCGCTCTCAATGCCGATCACGTATGTATGCAGTCACACATCAGATCTTGAACCTCAATTGTGTCTTGAGCCAAATGGCGATCAATGGAACTTGGGAAGCAACACCAACAAGGACCTCAGAACAGCTACCCAATTTCGGCACGGGGCCTAGAGGGTTTTAACAGTAAGCAACAAGGAAATCAACCCCCCACACAAACCCTAACCCATACCTTACAAAAAACAGTTGCACAACTCACTCTGTGCCCGGTCTTTTCGACTTCCATTTGCCCAGGAATGCAGGTGTGAGTTTTGTTGGGGGTACCTTTGTTTCCCTTTAACTAGTTAAGTTAAGAAAATACCTCACAGGGGGCAACACCGACGTGCATGTTCTGAGGGGGAACCTTATTCTGACATAGAGCCAAGCCGCAAGCCGGAAAACAGAAACAAAACAAAAAACAAAAAAAACGGCCACACGCCTGCAGCGCATCCGCGCCCCCGCTCTCCGCGCGCGCGAGCGCGGCTTCGAAGTCCGCGGCGGTCTTTGGCCTCGAACGGCTTCCTCGTCTTCCATTTGGTGAAGGCCCCAGAAAAAAATGGAAGACTAATTAGGAAGTAGTGATGAATTCCAAATCATAGGTAGTTGGGTGAATTCCAAGGTTTTACTCTTCCAAGTAGTACTTACTGTACAGTAGTGATGAATTCCGTTTAAAGCCAACAAGGGAAACTAACAACTATTCTTAAGCAAATGGACGTAGTTGGGTGTGAAGGGCCAGGCTAGGAAGTTGTAACAGGAACCTACTAGGTCCTCCAGTAGAGAGGTTGGAAAAAGGGTACCTACTTTTTTTGTAGTTTATTTTAGTAAGGGAACCCTCCCCACAAAAAAAAGGGGGGAGAAAGGACACTACTGGGGGACCTAGCCTAGGTTACAACCCAAGTGGCCAACCAATTGCTAACTTGCTGGACATCTAAGTAGGGGAAATACCGATCGCTCCCCACCCCCAGGAAGAGTTCTTCGATGCGGTGTCTTAGGCAGTGCCTAATTGGCCTCCAGGCACCCGGCGGATGGCCAAACTCCTGCCCAAACACAGGTGGGCTGGGTAAAACAAAGGAAAACTGGTAATGTTGACCCCGGATTAATAAACCCCTGTTTATTAATATGGGGGTGTCCCCGGTTTTAGTGGGATCTATCACTTTTGGAGGGGAACACCCCCATATTAGTAAATAGGGGTTTATTAATCCCGGGTCAGCATTATGCTCATCAGCTGATCGCACGCCTCATTTGCAACCCATCCGGCCTTTGTATCAGGGACGGGGGTTTAAACCTGTTTACTCTGCAAACTCCATGCAAATACCGGGGGAGCATTTTTATGACTGCACTTCACGAAAACCGCTCGGCTCCCGCGCTTCGAAGCATGGGTGAAGGCTCCTGTGGACTGTGTTTGGTCAACATGGCACCTATATATGACCAATCAACTGCCAAACCAACAAGCAAAAGGTGCAAAACGCAACAACTTGGAAGGTTGCTGTATCGCCGTTTGACACGTTCCCTTGCGCTTGTCAATGAGATTTCACAGCTTCGCAAAGTCAAAAGGCAGCCCTGTTTGAATACATTTGGACTGCCTTCTTGGCGTTTAGTCCTTTCAGCCCCAACCACTCACACTGAGCCCGGGCTTGTCTTTGCCTCCAAAAGCCCGCCCCTGCCGGGTCCCAAAGGGGAAATGCAAAGCCCGAAGGACCCTCCCGTTGGGAATCGCGGCTTGAAGCCCGCAGACTTCAAACAAAGGCAACCATGGCTAGCCGCGAGCCAAGGGCTAGCCTCCTTAAACAAACAAGTCCGAGGGGGACCAGAAAGGGGCACCACGGTGCCCTTTACCCTGAAAAGCAGAAGACAAGCCTTTTGCTCAAGAAATGCGCAGTGGCCATGGGAGAAAACGGGGCTCCCTTTGTTAGCTGCTTGACCCCATGTCAGGTTCCATGTTAATTGGTGGAGGCTAAGTTTGCGAGTGTTTTATAGATATTCTTTGGGACACGAACGGAGTCGGCTCTTTCTTATGCCAAAAAAGAACCCAATCAGGCTAGGTCCTCCAGTAGAGAGGTTAGAATAAGGATACCCCTTTTTCGGTAGTCTATCTTAATAGGGGAGCCCTCCACCAAAAAAGGGGAAAAGGGGGGGACCTAGCAGCTGTTGCATGCATTTGCTTTGTTGTCCAAAGGGAATGCTTGGTTTGACCCATGCAGGTACCTTTCTGGGAAATATCGACCCGACCTGCACCAAACCTATGAAATGAATGCTGGCCAGGAAATCCAACAATCTTGAAAAGTGGCGCATGTGGGGGGGAGGAATTCCTAAACAATCCATGTATGCAACATTTACTCACATTTACCGACCCTCGTGGGTCATGTTGGACTATACCGGCGCAACGAAACCCGCCCATCCGCACCTCCCGGAAGAGTCTGCGGGGCACGGGACCTGAGGATATCGGGGCAAGGAGTCCAAGAATCTGTTCGCCTTTTTTGTAGGTTGGAGCCCACCAAAAAGGGGTGGCTTTTTTGTTGGTCTCCGTGTACATGCTTTTGATCAGGGAGTGTCCCATTTAGGAGATGCTTCACTTTTTAAGGGAACACCCACACAAGAATTGGGTCCACACAGATTCAGGGAAAACCCAAGATCTGGCCCAGCAAGGTGCATTTATTTATAGATACAAGCGATTCCAACATAAAATTTATTGCCCCGTATTGCCCGGCACGGCACGGCTCTTTCAAACCCCCATCCCCGCAACACCTTCAATGGATTATCCATCATGGACCGAACCTCAGGTAGCAGAAACACCTCAGCCTTAGGCCCCAACCAAACATCGTCTGTTTGGTCCGTATTTCCGAAACAAGTTCAGCAGCGAGCCCAGCCTCATTTCCCACAGATCCCTTGTGATTTGGGCTGATGCACACCCCTTCGGGCGAGCCCTTGCAACAGTGTCCACGGGAAGCCTATGAACATCGTGGGACGGTAGAACTTGGGCGGATGTCCGGAAGACGAGGCAAATATCTGTCTGTCCAACCCTTAGCATGATGCCAAAACAGCGTATTGTTGCAGCGTGCTAAAACAGAACGGACTAAATCTACTTGGCTGTTCTTCGCGTTAGAGCTTAGCCACCCGTGTTGAAACCCACTACCCAAAGGGTCATGACCCCTCCAATGCAGACCCCCGGACCCTCCAATGGAGAACCCCGACCAAATCCTCATATGGGCTCTCAAATGCAACCCATTTTGAGGCCCCCAAAATCAATCGGGACTCTTCGGGTAACAAGGTTGACTGCACTGACCCGGGACACGTAAGCGGGTAAGAACTTAGGCCAACTTACTAGCTTAGCCTAAGAAGAACACCCAAGAAGCCTCACGATTTAGTCATGTCTTGGCGGGTTTAGAAAAGGGATAGGTCCAAACTTGGCAATTTTCCCCAAAGCTTTCATGTAGGTAACTAGGTCCTCCAGTGGACAGGTTAGAACAAGGGTACCCTTTTTTCCGTCTATTTTCGTAGGGGAACCTTCCTCCCAAAAAAGGGCAACAGGGCGCTGCTGGGGGACCCAGGCAACATAAACTATGATTTGACCCATTTGGAGGATAAGTGTGGGCAAACGTTGCATGCATGGATTGTCTGGGTTGGGATCCCAAAGAGTCAGGCATGGCCACGCACGCGAGCGTTCTTTTGCACGCAGCGTCAAGTTTCCAAACATGCAATGACATCCGGCCACTCCCTAGCAGCACTCGCCCAGCACACTGGGTGCTAAGGGGTCTGCAAAAATGCTCTTTTGCTTTTAAGAGAACTCCCCTTGTGGCTTCCTTTGGAGCATTTCTTGACAACATGTTTTCCATCTGGCACCCAGTTGGAAGGTCCCAGTTGGGCCCCTGTCGCGCATCAGCCCGGAAACCACACCTCCGCCGCAGGCTTGCCCGAGGAATACTCGATATAGGCCACTACAGCGCAGGACAACATCGCGAAGCCTGGGTTGGTCTGAGAGTGGGGAGGATTGGTCTTAGACCCTCGAGGGCAACAGATTGGGTCACTGGATTTCCCTTTCAAAGCTTCAATTTACTGGTGGTTTCCAGGAAGGAACATGGAGGACTATCATGGGGGGATTGGGGAAGATTGGTCTTAGACTGTGAGGCCAACAAAGGGTGTGCCAAGTAGGGGTCTGGATTTTCTGAATTACCCATCCGCTATTGGTTCCAATCTCCTGTGCCAGAACCAACCGCATTCTCGGGGTAATCTTGGTTTTTCAGGTTTTAAAAAAGTCAATCTCTCTCCACATGGAAATGTGGAAAAAGAAAACGCGGTGAAGATCATGAACGTTGCAAGTGAGGGGAAACAGTCATTTCCGGCAAGTTGACAAACCGAGGGACACTACGGCCCGCTTACCCGCAAGAAAGGCTGGCAGAACCAGTCTAAGCACTTAAGAACTCCATCTAAGAAGGTTCTAAGAACCTTTCCCGGGGTCAACTCTCAGATCCTCATCCTCCGTTTTATCAACCAACCCGAAAGTGCAACACATTTTATTGGAGGCCCCAGGATTCCTCATTGTCAAAGGCTGAGTGTGTATGTCCATGTATGAACCCTATGAACTCTAGATGAGCTAGTTCACCCTGAGTGGCTTTCTGGCAAATCAGCCCTTTTGCGGGGTCCCAAATGGCCATGGCTTTTTCTTTTTTTTTACCTGTCCCATCGGCCTTTCCCCGTCCAAAAGGCCAACCGGCCGCCTACTGCTAGGTCCTCCAGATTCGAGAGGTTAGAATAAGTTGGTACCCGATTTTTTTTTCTGCAGTCTATTTTAGTAAGGGAACCCTCCCAACCAAAAACGGGGTGAGAAAGGGCACGACTGGCTGGGGGACCAAGACTGAAGCCCAAGCTGCGGGCATTGGTCAGCTCGGCCAGGCGCATGAAGGGCGTGTACTGGCCCAGTTTCAACGGGTCCCCGAAGTCCCCGATCGGCCTGAGATTTTCCGGTCCTCTTTCAGTCGCTGCTTTGGAGCCGGGTCGTGGCTCTTTTACCACCAATCTGGAAAACGGTGTGGATTTGCGTTTTCTTGCACCTGAATCATGTCCACCAAAGGGTCCTCCCTTCAAAACTGAATTGGAATTGTTTTTCTCGCAGACACTACAACAAACGAGTACTAAAAAGGGCCAGCACAAAAACACCAGCTTTATTAAGTCGAAATTCATGTCCACCCTGTCCACCTACCACTGCCTAACAGCCGGAACCTGACAGGGACCAAGCCAGGACCCCTCGCTGTCAGGTTCCGTGTCATTTAGTGGGAGAGTATTTAACACCAAAATGGTCCAAACCCAAAATGTGACTAAAGTCCAAGAACTCAGGAAGTGAGAGTTCCATTTGGTTGAGGGCCCCAGGAAACGGAAACCGACCAGGGAAAATGAAACACATATTCACTTCAGCAACTGGAGGGAGTGTTCCGAGTTCAAGTATCAAGCAACAATCCTGCTCCGACTGCCCTGCATGTTGCAGTTTTTTCGTGCCCAGAAGCCAGAAACCCCGGCGGCTCTTTCTTACACCGGCCTATTTGCCCTCCGAATCCCCACGAAAAGGGGACACCTACTGTGCATGGTTGCGAAATCCATTTCGCGCCACCTAAGAAACCATGGAGACACAATACCGTTTGTTGGTATTTACCAGGAGAATCAACATTTCAGGGTTTCTTAGGTGCAGGAGTTCGTTCATCCACAGTATTAATTCATCAACCAGGGATTTGTCACACCCCCTGCGGCTAACATGGAAGCTCCCTCAATTGGCCGATCCTGGAAATGGAACCAAGACTTCCGTTTCGGGGTTCTGGAAGCTTGCGAGCTTCCGGCTAGCCTGTATTTTTGGAGGGTACTCCTCGCTTCCTTCGCGGATGGGCCAAAAATATGCAGAAACTGGTGGTACGCCGTACGAAACGAAAATGGCAACCAAACCCGAAAAGTTGGATGGAACCTTGGATTTCCACCATTCCCCCGGCTCTAATCACATTCTGGAGGGATCTCAAATGGAAGAATCTCGGGATCTCAACACCAAAGACGCGGCCGCTTGACTGGCATTTGAAGGGACAATTCAAGGGTCTCGAGGTTCGAAGGTCATATTTTCCCTTCAAACACCCAGAGGGGTCCACCATTTGGCTGCCTCTCTTTTTTTGCGGGGGATAGGCACCCCCCTTTCCTGGTGGTTTTTAAAGGGAAGCCAAATGAAAAACACACTTTGTGGGGTCCCCTAAAAGGACAAGCCCATTGCAGGAACCCCCCCCCAATAGCAATCCAAAGCTGAGTTGTAAATTCGCGGAACCCATGGCCGGCCCCGCCTAGCTGACTCCTGTCTGAACTGATTCCGCTCGAACTGGCCGCCTCAGCATGGTGGTGAGAAGTCACCCTTGTGATACCAAAGTTGGGCATCCGTTTCCATGACCACTTCATCCCTACCGCTAGGGGGGTGGGGTAATTCCATTTATCTAGTCTTCCACACCAAAAAAATGGAACCGTATATAAATGGAATTCCAGGGGTGGGGATGCCACTTCATCACTTGGTTTGGTGGGTATCCCAGAAGCTGGCATACCCTGCCGTACATTGTCCCTAATCTTCCATTTGCTTAAGCCCAAGGGGAAAAATATATATATATACATATGTATATATATATGTATATTTTCGCTACTGATAGATTCCCTTTAAGACCAGCAAGGCAAAATAAATAATACTCTTAAGCAAATGGTTGTAATGGCTTGGAGCGGTTCAAAGGGAGCCCTTAGTGGTTTACCCTGTCCAGTTCCGGCAAAAACTTTGTTTCAAGCGGATGCCCCGCTCGCTTCCTGAGTGGATTGGCCAGGGAATCTGCAATCTAGCAGTGACAAAACACGCCTACCCTAAGGCTCCCGATGGTTTTTGGGCCCTCAAATGGGTTGTTTTCAAGGGCGCTCACTTCCTGAGAGGATTGGCCAGAAAAATCCTCAATCTAGCAGAGACAAAACACGCCTAGGTGATATCCCCAACGACAACCCCAACCAACCCGGTTGGGGTGTCAAATTGGCAATACAACATGCCGACACCTTGCCACCCCAGAACCCTTCCGGAAGCCGAAAACGCCCAAATCCGCTCTGAACCGCTTCAGAACCTACCGGGGCAACAACCCCAAAGCGCTAACAAAGTCACAAGGCTGCAACCCCACATCCAAGCTGGTTTGGATTGGTGGTTTGGTTAAGGACTGTCTCCCATTTACCTGCATTTCCAAATCCAAATCCGAAGCACCAACTAAGACTGACTAAGGGTTACCGGATTTGACGTGGGACATCCCAAGGCAAGCTCCCACCAAGCCGCAGAAGATGAAGATCAAGATGGAGATCCGCTGCCAGGTGTCGTTGCCCAAGCCCCCAGCAATGCCTGACAGAGAGCTCCACAACTACGAGCAAGTGGCAGGAGCTCTTGGCCAAAAAATATTTTGCAGATCTTGAGTGGATGGGACCAAAACTCAAACAGCCACCCTGGTTCTTGGTTGCCGTATGGGCTGCACGCTAGGTCCTCCAATAGACAAAATTGGAACAAGGGTACCGTTACTTTTTTTTCTGTAGTCTATTTCAGTAGGGGAACCCTCCCAACCAAAAAAAAGGAAGAAAGGGCACTACTGGGGGACCTAGGGCAAACATGACGGAAGGCGAGTAAGCGTGGATCCGAAAACCTGACCTGTGTTTTCACTTGCCAGGGAAAGCTCAAAACGCTTGGGTCTTGACTGGCATGAAGAAACCTGCCACCCAAAGCTGAACTTTTGCTAACTCAACATGCAAGGCAGCATAAGTTTTCAACTCCAGGCCCAAAATATGAGCCTAAAAAGGCCAAATGAGTTTTTGGAGGCATTGGGAGCATGACGCAAGCTGAAAGTTAGACTTTGACAAACCAAGTTCCACCCCTCCCCCCCAGGGCCTCTACACTCACCCCTGATTTGACTTGTCTCGAAAAGTGGTGTCTTTCAATACGGGACACCACAAAACTGTAGGCTTCCTTTTGGCTCCCCTTTAGTCACTCGAAAACAGGGTTGTGGGAAATGACCACTTCTGTGATACAAGAAAAAAGGCTTCCCAAAGACTAACCCCTTCAAAGGTTGATCAATTTACCGGCAATCTCCGCGCAAACTGCCACCTGAGGTTCCAAACGAAATGGGCCACTGGGGGGAATCTCTGGAAGCACTGGACATGGGAAATGAAGGTTCCAAAAAGAAAACTCCCCCCCCCCCGGTCGGAATGGAGGTGGGAAATCCGGGTTTCAAACATGAACGTCCCCAGGCTCGAAATTCGAAAGAGAAAACATGTCCAGAGATAGGTTCCCTTCAGCACCAGCAGCGGGAAATTAAGCATCTTCTTTCTCACCCTTGGTATGGTAGCAACACATGTTGCTTTTTGCAGCCCCCTACTAAAAGTGAACAGAGCCAAAGCAGCAAAGAACGTGCCGGTATTATTCAGCCAAGGTACCATCCACAAGAAGGGAATCAATAAGAAAGCTTCGCCAATCCAAACCACCATATGAATCGCACCCAAAAATGGATTTGATTTCGCTTTTGTTCCTTTTAGCTTCCGTTTAAAACCAACCAAAAGGGTTGGTACCACCTGAAAAAAGGCAGTCCCACATGGGCGTCTTCTTTTTGGTGGTACCCTTTTTGGGTTGAGTGTAAAGGGACACCAAGGGTGCCCCTTATTGGGAACCAAAATGGTGGATCCCTGTTGGTTGGTGCCCAAGGGGATACCAACAGGCAACCAACCATCTTGCGGGTCCCCTAGTTGTTTAGCCTTTTAGGGCTCAGAGGTAGTGTCCATTCACCCCACCAAATGCTAAGCGTTTAGCAGGGGATCTGGGGCCTGTGTATATATATATATATGGGGGAGAACTCATCATGCCTCTTGGGGATACCCCCTTTGGTTGGTTTGACGAAACTAAAACGCTAAACCAATCCCCAAAAATATACGTCTTGTCTTAAAGCTAAGGGGAGGGCTGGGAGCCACCAAAAGGGGGCACCCTCGAGATATACATGTATTTGTTTACATCCGGCTCAACATGTACAGCTTCATGGCAACTTCAAACTAACTATATACATAATATATATATATATATGTAAATACACACATACATGTATAAATATATATATATACACATATGTGCATATAAATAAATAAATATCTCTATATATATATATAAATGTATACATGCAAAAACAAATCAACACATAATACATGTATATATATATATACACTTTCATATATATATATACACATATATGTATGCATGCATGTATGCATGCATGCATGCATGTATGTATGTATGCATGTATGTATGCATGTATGTATGTATGCATGTATGTATGCATGTATGTATGCATGTATGTATGCATGCATGTATGCATGTATGTATGTATGTATGTATGTATGTATGCATGTATATATGCATGTATGTATGTATGCATGTATGTATGCATGTATGTATGTATGTATGCATGTATGTATGCATGTGTGTATGTATGCATGTATGTATGTGTGCATGTATGTATGCATGCATGTATGTATGTATGCATGCATGTATGTATGCATGCATGTATGCATGTGTGCATGTATGTATGTATGCATGCATGTATGTATGCATGTATGTATGTATGCATGTATGTGTGTATGCATGTATGTATGTATGCATGTATGTATGTATGTATGTATGCATGTATGTATGTATGCGTGTATTTATGTATGCATGTATGTATGTATGCATGTATGTATGTATGCAAGTATGTATGCATGTATGTATGCATGTATGCATGTATGTATGCATGTATGTGATGTATGTATGTATGCATGTATGTATGCATATATGTATGCATGTATGTATGCATATGCATGTATGTATGCATGTATGTATGCATGTATGTATGCATATGTATGTGTATGTATGCAATGTATGTATGCATGTATGTATGCATGTATGTATGTATGCATGTGTGTATGCATGTATGTATGTATGCATGTATGTATGTATGTATGCATGTATGATGCATGTATGCATGCATGTATGTATGTATGTATGCATGTATGTATGCATGTATGATGTATGTATGTATGTATGCATGTATGTATGCATGTATGTATGCATGTATGTATGTATGCATGTATGTATGCATGTATGTATGTATGCATGTATGTATGTATGCATGTATGTATGTATGTATGCATGTATGTATTCTGTATGTATGTATGCATGTATGTATGTATGTATGCATGTATGTATGCATGCATGTATGTATGCATGTATGTATGCATGTATGTATGTATGCATGTATGTATGTATGTATGCAATGTATGTATGTATGCGTATGCATGTATGTATGTATGTATGCATGTATGATGCATGTATGTATGCATGTATGTATGTTTGCATGTATGTATGTATGTATGCAAGTACGTATGCATGTATGTATGTATGTATGTATGCATGTATGATGCATGTATGTATGCATGTATGTATGTATGCATGTATGTATGCATGTATGCATGTATGTATGTTTGCATGTATGTATGTATGTATGCAAGTACGTATGCATGTATGTATGTATGTATGCATGTATGATGCATGTATGTATGCATGTATGTATGTATGCATGTATGTATGCATGTATGTATTTATGTATATTTACAGGAACGGTTTTCCTCCTTTCCATCCTGCCTTCTGGGCTCTGCTCGAAGCCCGGGACCCGCACCAGGTGCGGGGCCGCGAAGCCCAGCGCCGCCAGCATGGCGACCCGCCCGTGCTTCAGCTCCGCCTCCCGCAGCCGCCGGAACCACTTCTCGTCCTCGAAAGACGACAGCTGGTTGCCCCCTTACCTGTTGTTATGGGGGCTGGGGAGGGAGGGGAAGGGAGCCCAAATAAGCCCTGGAGGGGAGGGGGAGGGAGCCCAGTTTGGAGGTTCATCTCTACTCTTGGTGTGGGCTTGCGAAAAACTGACGGTTTTTGGCAGACCCCCAGCTAAAAATGAACAGAACTAAAAAACTATAAAAACAAAAAAACATGATCCAAGAACAGTGAAGGACACCAAGCCACTGGCAGCATCCCCCCTGCTGTAAGCTAGGCTGGAAGAAGAGGACCCCTGCAAATATATACATATATATATATATTTTTTGCCTCGTTAGTGGAAAACAAAGGGGACCCCAAAAAAGCAAAGGAAAAGGGGGAGCTAATTCTGGGGAGGAAAGACACCAAGCCACTGGCATCCCCCGTGCTGTAAGGGGGTGCCCAATTCTATTTATCTCCCACAATTCCATTTTTTAGGGGGATTTGGCAGCCGAAGCTTTCTTCCTGTTTTTGTTTTCAGCTTTGGTGGTGTGGTGTTCTGCTTCTAAGTTCTTTTGCAGCCAAGTTCCTCTTCCCCGGTTTTGTCGTGAGTTTTGTTTGTTTATTTGTGTTTGGAGTTTGGGGGGTGGCTCGTCCTCGAAAGACACAAAGCTTCCATTTGCTTTTTCGCCCCCTGGAATAAATGAAACATAATTCCAACTGTGATAGATTCCCTTTAAAACCAACATGGCAAAATTAAAAACATATTCAGCAAATGGAAGAAAGCCACTGGCAGCCGGGGTCCTTTTCCTGTTTCTGTTGTCGAAAAAACAAATCACCCTTTGGGGCCATGATGCAATATTTCTTTCAGGGGTCACTGGATTTCAATTCCCCAAAAGTTGATGAATTTACAACCTGGGGTTTAGGGTTGAAGGTTTAAAGTCCTTGTCCTTCATGTTGCACAGAAGACACTGAAGAACCTCTAGGGGGTGGGTGCAACTGGGGTTGACCTTGTGATCTTGGCTCTAAGCTAGGTACTAACTTCTAGGAATGACTTTCCGAGTCCGGGTGTCGGTAAGAAACCGTTTTAGGGGATTCCGAATAACGGAGATGGTGTTTGTCACGTCCTCCAACTCACTTGCGCAACTGGCCCAAAGGGTTGGAAATAGAAGGTGATTATCATTTGGGGCCACCAAAAGAGTGAACCAACAAGGGGAAACTAGAAGGTCAAAGGCCATTTTGCTTTGGTCCTTGGTGAGCCAATAAGTTGGGAAGAAACAAGAAGCAACCTGATTCTTATCCATTCTTATGTTCAACAAGGACTTGAACTCTTTTGTGTGCAGCTCTGATTGCCTTCATCTACCATTGGCTTTCTATCGCCGTTCGCCTTCTCTTCCAACGGTGAAACTATCCCCAACAGGCCCGAAACCCCTTGAAACCTGCCAGAACCCTCCTAACAGCTGCCCCAAACCGCCCCTTTGCGCCTATCTGATGGCCTGCGAGGTGGCATCCGCCCGATTTCCGCCCGTTCCCCCCCCCCCCCCCCGACTCGGCGCCGGAGTCCTCAGAGATCTCCGGGCGGCAGGGCTCGAAGCCGGTCTCGAGGCCGAAGCCGAGGCCCACTTGGCCCCGGTCCTGGCTGAGAGTCGTGTGGGCTTGAAGAAACCGAACTCAACTAGGTCCTCCAGTAGGGATCAGAATAAGTTGGTACCGTTTCTGTTTTTCGGTAGGTCTATTGTAGGGGAACCCTCCCCCTAAGGGTAAAAGGGCACTACTGGGGGACCTAGTCAACGCCCCATCGAGGCCAAAAAGAGAGTCCAAACCGATTTGTGCTTAGGATGGCAACCAGACCCAGAATGAGTGACGGAAGAAGCCCATGACTCAGGAGCCAAGGAAACCTCAAGCAAACCATGCTGGTCCTCCAGTAGCAGGCATTAGAATAAGTCGGTACCATTTTTTGTCTATTTCAGTAGGGGGTTCCCTCCCAATCAAAAAAGGGGTGAGAAAGGGCACCTAGCTGGGGGACCGAACTTGAAACCCCATCGAGGCCAAGAAGAACGTCTCTACCGATTTATTTGCCAAACACAATTTACCTGGACCCCCAAGCGGCCCCTTTTTTTTCTGCCTTTGTACCCTTTTTTATGGGTCAAAGGCGGAGACATTTTTGGCTTTTGGGTCCAGGTAAAGGGTCACTGAAGCCCCCGACTTAGGAACTGAGCCAAGGAAACCTACAAACCATGGTCTGGCTTACCAAAGTATGGCTCAAGTATGGCCAAACTGGATGCACCGTCTTTGTTGGAGCTTGGTCTACTTTTTTTTGCTGGGCTTGGAAGGGACACGTTCAACAGGACACCCGGTCCAGCCTAGCTCACGTGAACTGACCAGGCCTTAAAAAACAAAAGAGGGGACATGGCAAGAAAAAGGCGGCCTGTTTTTTGTTGCAGCCCAGCCTAAAAGTGTACAGAGCCCAAAAAAGCTCCCCCCCCCCCCCCAAACAAAGAAACAACAACAACAAAAACGGGGAAACTAAGAGCCAAGCTTGCCCCACAAAGCGGCGCGGCGCCACGTGGGCTCCCCGTGTCGGAGCTTCCGCCGCCCGATGCCGCCCGCCTCGTTGAAGCCGAGCCGCGGCACCACGCGGCGCAGCGGCGCGAAGACGCCGCTCGAGGAACTGATGCCCAGGGGGTCGAAAAGGCCCAGGCCCGGAGTCACCCCCACCTGGGATGGGCGGAAACGCCCTGGTCCTTGATGTAAAAAAACCAACCATCCTATGGGAGATTCTTTAAGGGAATCCTTAGGTTGATTGGTAAACTATCCCCTATGCCTGTTATTTCTAGAAAAAAACTTAGGTTTAGTCCAGAAAACCCTTTGCAGTGGTCCAAAAATGACTCTAAGCATTCGACTATTACACCCTGGGATTACGACCTAGGGACACCCAAAATAACCCTAATTAAACAAAAGCAATGATGTTTACATAGCCTGGAATAGGGTGATTCCCCAGAGGGCGTAATCCCAGGGTGTCGTAGGAAAACCCTTGGAATGACCCATATAAACCATCCATCCCATGGCGTCTTCTTTAATGGAATCCCCGATGGTTTAGTCAAGCAAAACGGTTTTTAGAGTTGCGCTGTTTGTGGATTTCACCGAATTTTATTCCACCTGTAGGTTGTTTGTGAGTATTTTTTTATAGTACTCTTTTAAAATCCACAAAAGACGCATCCAAACCGTTTCCTAGACCTGGGGTCCTGCTACCTTACAACGATGGGGTTCATTGTTTGCCCAAGGATTGTCATCATCCAAGTTGGGAGAACCATTCATTTCATGGGGGGCAAGGAACGCCAGGGCAAAGGGTCATGGGTGGTTCTTTGGGGATTAGGATGGTGTTCGATCTGGTATACCTTTAAAGCGCACCATAAAAGGAGTACCACCAAAAAAACTCACACCCTGATTGAGCTTTGGTTTATGTAGGTGTTCATGGAAAAGCTGAGTTTGTAAATCCACGCGTGTGTCTCCTTTTGGGCGATTCGGTCACAAAGACCCACCCTGTGTTTTTGCTGTTTTTTGGTGTGTGTGTGTGTGTGTTTCTGTGTTTGTTGGTTTCTTTTGGGGGGGGGAGGAGGTGGATCCTGGTTGGGATCCTGAAGGCCGAAGGGAAACAGCAGCCCACCAGAAAAAACGCGCTCCCGCCCCTCCCCCCCCCGCCTGCTTTGCGAGGTCGAAATCCTCGCTCGCACTGGCACTTTTCTCCTCGGAGGCGAAGTTAAACATTCGCCAATCAGTTTGCCAATCTGCCAAAGGAGCCCCAACATGGTGGCTGTCATTTTCTATTTCCCTTGTTTTGAAGGTGAAACCGTCAAGAAAAGACACATGGGCCCATTTGTGCCATGGTCAAGCTCCATGCCGACCCCCGAAACCCTTCCTGGTTGGATACACACCTTACACCCAATACCTTCATCTTGTAGGGTATGATGTCGACCCTCTACTAAGAAAGGAGGTATTTACCATGGAAAAAACAACCCCCAAAAAAACGTGGGTATGGGGGTACACTTACCAGCTGAACCAGTTTTGCCCCTGCTCAGACTTCCTCAGAATCAGCCCCTTGCTGCAGGTAAGGGCATACGGGTTGTGTCACAAAACCCCTCAAAAGGCCATAAGCCTCGCTTTGTACGGCGGTAAGGCGAAGAACGCAATCAAAGGAATCTCCTTAGGGGGAACCCCGCAATTCGGTGCCGTGACATCCAGCTCCCGGAATTAGTCAATTGAAGACTTTGGGGGCCCAGGAGTTAGTGCCCCTTCTAAAGTTGCAATTGACTGGTGGGTTGCATGGAAACTGGGAGCCAAGTTTTGGGATCCGCTATTCTTAGCGGGAAACTATCGCAAAAGAGTGGGATCTCCTGATGCCATGTTAAAAAAAACCCGTGACCTCAACTGCTCAAAGGACACAAGGATGCAAGGTGAACCCTTGGAGCCATGACGAAGCATGGGAACCCAAAAAGCGGAAACATAAGCTCAAACGGTCGGGGAACCAAAACGTTTTTTTGAGGTCGATGGCAAGTGAGTTACCCCAAAGAGAAACCTTAAATGAGGACCCTCCAATTGGTGCCTCAACCAACCCAAAAAAAAACAAAACTAGAAAACGGGTTGGGTGTGGCAAATCCGTGGATCCATCTGTACACGATTGAACGACCAAGAGGGGAAGAGGGGCCTCCGCTGGCGGATCTTTCGTGAACAGCTCCCTGGCTGCCAGCGCCACACACGCCGCCGGCGCTATGCCCTGACGGAGTGGAAGCTGGGGTGATGCGCTCCGCACCAAACATGGATTTGGACATAAACATTTGTTTGAGCCAGGGTGCACATTTGTTTGAGCCACAGCCAGCAAAGACTGATCTAAAGCAGTGGTTCCTTTCGTGAGTGGATCAACTGTTAGGGCTAAATGAAGAACCTTTCCCTAGGTCCAGTAGAGAGGTTAGAAGAAGGGTACCCGATTTTTTCTGTAGTCTATCTTAGTAGGGGAACCCTCCCAACCAAAAAAGGGTAAAGGGGCACTGCTGAGGGGACCTAGTAAATGTTTAAGTAGCCAGCACCCCCAATCCCCCACCAGCACCCTTGGACAATACTTAATACACCAGGTCCTAGACCAGCAAAGGGCCTCTTTTGGAAAATAATGGACTTCCCGACCCTCCGGACCCTCCGCCCTCCAGTCAGGCTACATGTTGGTTGCTGAGAGGCTACAGGCTAAACAAACCCATACCTCACTGGCCCAAACTGGTTCACCTTTTTGGACCATGACTAAAAAGTGGACCACGCTAGGAAAACCGAATGGTCACTTCAGGTCGCTTCGCTTGAAAGTGAGACGCAAACGAGTGAGAGTGGGAGTGTGAGTCTGGGTGTGGGTGTGCGTCCGAGCGTGTGTGTGTGTGTGCGCGTGTGTGCAGAGTGCATGTAAACAAAATGGAATCCAGGGGGTTGGCATCTCCTTCAGATCAGAGAAAGTCCAACCGTCCAAGTCCAAACAGTGACTAAACTTTACTCCAAGCGTCCCCATGCAAGACCTTGAGTGGGGAACAAAAACCAAACGGCCGTTCTGGTTCTTGGGCCGTCGCCGTATAGGTGTATGCTGGGTCCTCAGGTTAGAATACAAATAGTCTATGCTCTGTAGTCTATTTTAGTAGGGGAACCCTCCCAACCAAAAAGTTGGTAAAAGGGCACTACTGGGGGACCTACTGTGGATGGACGAAATCCTGCACCACCTAGGTAACCATGAGACACATTGTTTGTTGGCATTTACAGGAGAATCAACATTTCAGGGTTTCTTAGGTGGTGCGATTTGGATTTCCTTCATCCACGGTAGTATGAAAGCACCCCACATCCGTTGCTCAGGCGCCTTCCCTCTCCAGCCCGGCGCGTGCGGAAGTTGCGGAAGTCGCGGCGGCCGCGCCGGCGGCAGGCGCCGCGCCAGTGGCCGCAATGAAGGCGAAAGGGCGGCATGGCTTGGCACCAGCATGGAGATCGACTGTCCGATGCCCTCGCACCCGGTTTTCCCCCCCATACTTTGAACAACACCGGGTCCAATCCCCTGGGTCTAGTGTTGTTTAACCTTTGAAAAACACCGGATCGATCAAAGCACCGTGAAAAAAAGGTCTTGAAGTCAAAACAGTTGTTTCGCCAATCCCCTGACTCATTCTCAACTCGGCGGTATCGTCGCTATATTCTGTGCTTGAGCTTGCGAGATCAGGTTTTTCTACGGGCATGACTCAAAACATGGGGGCTCCATTTTGGAAGGTCTTCACTTGACTGCTATTGGGTAACGGATCTTTAGACTTCAACTTTTTGGTTGAAATCAAGGTGGGTTTTCCACTAAACACCCCAAAAAGTGATTCACTTTTTGCACGCGGGTCAAGAGCAACCAAGATTCAAGGGAAGCTGCGCGGGTTGCAACCTCAAGCAAATGACCCAGATCTGTTTCCAGCCAGGCTGCACATTTGTTTGAGCCACAGCCAGACGCTAATCTAAAGTGGTTCCTTTCGTGAGCGGATCAACTGTTAGGGCTAAATGAAGAACCTTTCCCTAGGCCCAGTAGAGAGGTTAGAACAAGGGTACCTTTATTTTGTCTGTAGTCTATTTTAAGTAGGGGAACCCTCCCAACCAAAAAAGGGGGGCCCCAGTCCCATCCGAAAACCCAACATGTGCAAAAACTCGGCAGGTGAGCCATCGCCATGAAATCAGATGCCTGATCGACGGCGAGCTCATGGGAACTCTTCACGCAGTGACCTGTAGCCTCACTTGCCACGGGATTTGAACATGCAAACCCCTCTGGAACCTGAACCAAACAAATATCGCCAGTTCCATCGGCAGGGGTCTCCTTTATCGGTTATTCGCTGTCGTACAGTGCGCGAAAAATCGACAACCATTCAAGAACCTGAAAAGGGATCGCGGCCTAAATGAGCTTGTTTTGGCCCCCGAGCTAAGCGTCAAGTGGGCACACACACATTACCTAGGGCTGTTTCCTTGAAAATGCTGCGACGGCAAGCTTTCGCCGGAAAGCCCAATGCCAAATGGGGGGTTTAGGATTGGTGGCGAAGGCCGGTGAAGGGTGATGTTTTATTTGCCCTCGATTCGGCATACTTCGCTGGAACTACCTCGGGCCGTAAAGAACTGAACAAGGCTCTGTGCGTCAGGCCCTGGCAACCGCATCGAGCTTGATCTGGTCACAAAGCGAACCACTTCACTGGGCTGGAATTGGAACCCCGGCAAAAATATATATATATATATATTTGCCTGGTTAGTGGAAAACAAAGAGAACCCCAAAAAAGCAAAAAAGCAAAAAAGCAAAAGGGGAGCTAATTCTGGGGAAGTTCACTTCCGGAATGGAGTGGTCGACAAAATGTTTACAACTTGTTGTTTGCCCCCCAAAATGAGTCTTCCCAAGAAGCATCAAGCAACCAGAATCTCAGGAGTGAGTTTCTCATTACCATGTTCCCAAGTTCTCTCGCCGAATGTCATTTGGTTCCAGCCGGGACAACTACTCAAGGACATATGCCGAAACGGTGGCAAAAGCAACATGCAAAGCATCCAATTCTGGGTTTGCATATGTCTCCGTGAATCACCGTGAAACCGAGTGCGAATCATTTGCACCTCGCATCATCTGCGTCAAGACACCCAACGTTCCCTCTACAGGGATCCTTACATTATACACCTGAACATTGCCTTGTAAATTGTGGTTTCCCTTTATTTTTGTGGAAAAAGCCATGTTTCCAATGGGCAAGGTGTATCTTTTGAGTAGCCCTGCTCTACCTCCATTCGAATTGCCGGCTTCCTCTGATCGACTTTTTCATTCAGCAGGCTTCTTGGGGATCGCAGTAGTCCCTGATGTCGAAGTCGAAGCCTGGCAATTGAAGCGACTCGCGGGCCCGCGGCCCAACAGAAAGAACAACAGGACCGGTTCTTGTGGTGCATGCTGTTGCCACCCTGTCGGCACGTGTCCCGGCTGGAACCAAATGACATTCGGCGAGAGAACTTGGGAACATGGGTATGAGAAGCTCGCTATTCACCTCCAATCCTCTGCAATTAAGGCCTTAGTATGGCCTTGGGGAGAAGAGGCGGGGGGCGAGGAGAAGGCGGGGGGTCCGCTTCTATGATATCCGCCCAAAGGACACGGACAAATACAGGCAACATACCGCTCGCAACCTCAAAATGTGGACTCAAAGAGAAGCACCAAAAGTTGACACAGCCACTCTCTTTGGAGATATTTATGTAGCTCCCGCATCTACGCCAAAATACAGGGATTCACAAACAAAATATCTAATTACTTCATTTGGACGGCTTCGGAATTCGGTGCCTTCTTTTCTTGGGAGGTGGCTCCTTTTTCCAGTCTACCCCCGTAAACGGAGACATCAAATTCTGAAACTTGGGACATGACAATTTTCAGTCACTGGATCCCTGCAGGTTTCTTCTAACCAAGTAGGATGACCTGTAGGGATTCCGTGGAAACAGCGGGAGAGGGTCTTGGGAGCAGGTGCAAGCAAGTCTTCAGAAGTGCCAGCGCAAAAAAAACAAAACAAACAGAAGCAAAGCTGACCCGATGACCTTGTTGTAGAGGTTTATGATATTTGTTTAAAAACAAAGTGGCAAAAGGGCTGCCAAGAAGTCTCCCGCTTCTTCCCCACGGAGACTGTCCCCTTCACAATTATGGCGCAAAAGGAATTCGGCAACCTTCCTAGGATTCCTTGCTTGAGTAGAATGGCTCAAACACATCCTACCTTGTCCAAGGCCCCCAGTGTCCATGGGGTAAAGCTGAATTTCAACTGGACCGCTCCCCCTCTTGAAGAAAAGGGCACCAGCATATTCCTTAAGACTCCAGCCCAAGCGCAAAGGGCACAACCCTTGGTTGCTGTTGACCCTGCCAAAAGTTTCACCTTTGTGGGGGTTTCGTGGAAAACCCCTTGAGTTTTCGCAAAAAGTTCAAGTCTAAAGATCCGTTCCCACCCCAAAGCGGAAATCCCGGGACCCGATCCCATCGCCTGTGGAGTGACCCGCTGCGATGGGGTCAAAGCCCTCCACCTGACTTCAGGTGCAGGGTGCTCACCTTTTTGGGGCCCAAAACGGGGAAACCGAGATCCGGAACCCAAGGGAAACTTCGAAAATGTCATCCCCTCTTGGTGAGTGATTGGTGGTTTGGTGACTGTTGGGGTTGAAGCGAAGAATGACCAAACTGCAGATACCCCTTCTCACTTCCCGAGTGGCTTTGCCAAGCCTAAATTGTTGGTTGACCACCCAAATGGTATTCCCCAAAGTTTAAATTGCAGGAACTTAGGGAGTGAGCCAACTTCGACCCCGGAGCTTGGCGGATTGAACTTTGGATTTGGATTTGAACCCCTGAGTCTTGAAAAACCAACCTCAGAACCTCCACTCCACACCGGGCTCAACACGAATCGAAAGGAAGCTGAACTGCTGGGAAACTGACACTCCCTGGGAGTGGCAGCTCAGTTAGTTGTCTAGGTGACCCACTTGTAAGAGTCGTCCTGAGTAGAGCTTACCCTCTATTTCCTTAGAGCCTCATAGTGGAAATCACAGATCCGGGAATCTCCACATTGTGAGGCAAAGGCCGCGCCCATGCAGGCAACATGCTTGCATGCTGGAAAAACCATGACATGTGGTGCCAAGGTCAGTTGGAGTGTTCCCTCCAAAAGTGGTCTGAAGCCCCACCAAAGGGGGACACCGCCCAATCAAAATCAGCCAGGGGTCTGCTCAAATCCGGAGTGCCCATTAGTCTCCGTTGCCCTTTAGGGACCTAGAAATGAAGGGTGATCACCTTTTGGGGCCCAAAAAGGGGAAACCAGACCCGGTACCCAAGGGAAACTTCAAATTGTCATCCCCGCTAGATCTGGGCCTTGGTGAGTAATTGGTGGTTTGGCGCCTGGTGGGGGTTGAATCACAAGGAGCTGGGGTTCAAATCCAAACCCAAAAGAAAAAGGGGAAACCAAAAGGTCAGGCTTTGGGCAACTAAGTTCAGCATTGAGTCCACCCCAAGAATTGGAAAAGCCACAAATCTTCGAGGAGACCCAGGAACTATCCAAGTCCAAACCAATCCAAGTGTCTAATTATGGAACCCAGGAACCAAAAAAAGGGAACCAGATCTGGTCATCCAATCCGAGTGAGTCTCAAAGCACGTGGGTGTGTCTTTTTCGAGGGGACCTTCCCCAAAATGATGAGCTTCCTTGTGGTTTCCCTTTGAAAAAAAACAAAGAAGGGGTACCCTCCAAACTTAAAAAAAGCATGGGTACCCTCCAAAATACACGTAACAATGATAATAGTGATAATAACAATGTCAAAAAGAAACAAAACAACTGGAAGAGGATGGTTCTCATCTCAGATGCCTCGCCTTGCAGGGGACGATGTTGCACATGACCACACGGGTCCTGGGAGGCGCTGCTTTTTTTGGCAGGGCCCGGCAAAACCGGAGAAGAAAAAACGGAGCTCCGAGCTGGAGAAGTGACAGGGGATTTTCACGGGATTCTCCTTCAAAAAAAAGTGGCATTTTACCAAGTGGTCCTCCAGGTTTGAGAGGTTGGAATGGATTTCCCCAAGTGAACAGCTCTGTTATTGTTTTCCGGCCCCAAACATTAAACATGAACCAAAGAAAACATGATCCAAGAACAGTGACGAAGTCCTCCAGATTTGAGAGTCCTGCCGTCTATTTTAGAAGGGCAACCCTCCCAATCAAAAAAGGGGGTGAGAAAGGGCACCAATCGCTGGGGGACCTAGCAGGGGGTCACTGGATTTCCCCAAGTGAAAAGTTGCATTTTCCTGATGGCTTCCGTTGAAACTGCCAGAGATCTATTTCCAACACCCCGACCCCGACTGGAGCCTCGTCACAAGTCTTGACCAGACTTAGGCCACCTACAGTTGAACTGTGTGCTGGTCGAAATGGAAAAAAACGAGTCGGACACCCCACAAAAGCCCACAAACAAATGTAAGTCTTTGGACCGGCACTGGCCTCTCAACTTGTCCAGTTTTGCAGCCGATCAATCCAACCCATGCAGCCAGGTGTCATGTTCTTCGAGCAGGGGAGCCCTCCGAACGCTGGCTGCCGCACGACCTGCGAAGATCCGGCGCTCGGGTTTGCTTTTTGCTTCGGGCGCTCGGCCGACAGGAAGCAAAGGAATCCATCGGCAAATGTTACCTGGCATAATCCCCAAGAGGATCTTTACCACGAGCTTGTTGCAAAAATTACGATAGATTCAAAACCTGAAATAAGAATTGGATGCCCAAGTCGAGGATCTTTACCGTGAGCTTGTTTTCCCCCCACACAAGCTCGCAAAAACAATAGGCAGATCCGGTCCCGGCTTTCGGCTTCCCTGTGCCAACCTGTCCTGTTTCGCCCTGCTGGAGAGGACCTCCTTGGATTGGACTGAACCCTGGCTTTTGTTTGGTGGCTTTAAAAGCACGAACTTCAGTTGCCCCATTTTTTTACCATGCCCAGGCATGGTTAAGCAGAGCCACTCTAGTTCGTAGCCAGGGGAAACCAACAATGGCAAAACACAGAGGGGAGCATACCGAAGAGTTACCGACTACAGTGGCTGGAAGCACCGAGCATGTTCAAGATGCATAATCGCCAACCTGACAACACCATAGTAAAAAAAAACAAAATCAAGTGGAGCTGCAATCCCAGGTGTACAAGTTTCACAAAATGTGCTTTCTTGACCTGCCTCACTTCTGAGCAGTTTTGGTGCATGAAATGCTCATCGCCCATTTGGCTAACAACATTTAGACCCCATCCGTTTGGGGCGGGATTCATATATTGACTCGTAAAAAAAATGGCTCTGCGTGACAATTCGCCGCAAATGAGATCCAGTCAGAACCCCCGCCAGGAATGAAAACACGGAAAGCCAAGGTTGGGGGCATTAAGCTCAGTTGCCGCTTAGGGACGCCGAAATAACAGGTTAACCTTTTGAGACCTTTCCTCAAAATAGACCGAACAAAGGAAAGTCAAAGGTACAAAGGTCGGCTTTGGACAAGTGAGTGACCACTTACAAATTACTGCGCCCTGTCAAGTACACAACATGGTTGCCGTTGACCCCTCTCCAAAAGTTTAAGTGTGTGTGGGCCCAATGGAAACCCCCAATGTTTCAACCAAGAGTTCAAGTCCAAAGATACGGCAAAAAAAAAAGCCATTAAAAAAATGAAAAGCCAGCCACCCCAACCCCATCCACCCACCCTCTCCAACACACCTTACGTAAGTCTCCAACTCCAGCTCCCAGGCACCAACCCCCGCCAACAACAAAGGAACGCACTCTAGGTCCTCCAGATTTGAGAGGTTAGAATAAGCTGGTACCAACTTTTTTCGGTCTTGTCGACTTTAATAGGGGAACCCTCCCAATCAAGAAAGGGGTGAGAAAGGGCACCAATCGCTGGGGGACCTAGCACTGGGTCTTTGGGGCAGCCGGCCTTGCGATATTGCTCTTGATGTCCACCACCACAAGCTCTGGAACCTATGGCTCGGCTCCGGTCGGCGAGGCTTCGGACTTCGGTGTCTTACGCCTTACAGGAACCTGGACACTCAAACAGCCCCCTACTCCAAATACCCACTCTTTTTTAGGGTATGATGTCGACCCTCTTCTAAGAAAGAAAAAGAAGGTTTTTCACAACATAACCTTGAACAAGTGGGTATTTGGAGTAGGGGGTACCCTGAAGAATGGCTGGGATGTCCTCCCCTTTCCCATTTTAGGGAACACTAGCTGGGGGTGCCCTTGGTGATGTCCCTTTTTCATGGGTAGGTCTTTCGGCTTTCGGGTCCAGGACCACTGGCAGGGAAAGGAGTGGCTTCAAACATCAAAGGAGGCCCTTCTGAGACTCATTTCGGGTGATGCGATGGTCTGATTCTGGCTCCGCGGTGCAAGGAAAATAATTAAACCTCACACCAACTAACACAGAACTAGATCTCCTTGGAAAATGGTCCAAGCAAGGGACCTCCTGTCAGGTTCCATGTTAATTGGTGAGAGGGTATCAGCATATTGTCACCCCTTAAAAGTCCAAGCCCTGGGCAAGTTAATCTTTTACAGACATATAGCCCATGTTACCCAAAAAGTTGAAAAGTTGTGTTTTTTAAGAGGTAAGTATTGTCACCCCCACCTACTGATCATTGGAGTGCGCCTGCTCCCTAAAGCAAACCTGATTATAAAGCAAGTGAGCCAACCATAACTGCTATGTTGACGGAGCGCCACTTGGCCCCTTCGCCTGGTACATCTGAGAAACTCCACCATCTTCTCTTTGTCGTTGTGGCCGGGGTTAAAACACCGCCTCCTCCGAAAGATTCGGAACTTGAGTTCAAAGTTAGGTTCAAATTTGAAGAACTGTCTGCGCAGGGCTCCTGACAAGCTTGGAAGGTTGGATTTTAGAGGACTAAGCGTTCTGGACTCTAGACCAGCCTGATGTCACCGACCTGAGAAGAAGGACACTCAGGGAGACATGCATAGTGTTTGCCAATAACAAACACTTGATGTCACCAAAGAGCGGAACGGCACCATCATCCGCGGCATCCAGCATTCGTTGTTCCGGCTGCTTGATCAAACAAGTCAGCTCGAAGGCACTGGTAAACTGAGGGTCTGGAAACATACAAAGTACCAATGCTCTTTTGGTACTAAGAAAATATATATTTGCTTTTGGGGACACAACCGTGGGCTAGAAGCTACCAGCTAAGCCAGTTTCATCAATAGTTCCAACACCTGAAATAAGGGGAGCCCCAAGCAAAGGATCTTTACCATGGTGAGCTGGTTTTTTACCCCTAGGTAAGCTCGCCACAAATCACAATGAATTCGACCGAGGAGCATAGCCCTTTGTCGATCCAGTCAGACAGCATGCAGTCGAGCCCTGGCGCGCTTTCAAGAGCAGAGAGGATTGGCCAAGGTAGTCTCTCTCTGTGTTTACTGCCCTCAGATCCCCTGCTAAACGTTTAATTTTGAATGGTTTGAATGGAAACACCCACCAAGGACTAAAAGGCTAATTAAAAAGCTAAGGGGCTGGCTTGGAGCCACCAAAGAGAAATTAAAGTTCATGAAATCAGTGAGTGACTTGTTTCGAGGGACATGAAACTGCCAATGGAATTCCAGAATTCTCCCCCGCGCCCCCTACCCTTCTACTCCAAGGGTGTTTCGGATGACAAACGTGTGTTCGCATGTAACCAAAACAGTCTGTCCATGCGCGGATTCCAAATAAGGGAAATCCAAAAGGTTGTCCTCTAGCGCGTTCCGAACACCTCAGTCAGGCTCCATGCTAGTGGATGGGAGGGTAAGACTATTTTGCGTGGTTGCATTAAGCTCGGGTGATATCAACAGCATGCGGTGCTATTTTTAGTGCTCGCACCACCCCGCAGCCCTTGCAGAACTGTGTGGAACCCTCGTGGAACCCTCGTAGAATTTTGTGGAATCTGGTGGAACCCTGGTGGAACCCTCGTGGAACCTTACCTCAGGGCCGCCCCGGACCACCCCGGAGCCTATCTGGGCTGAGACCCCAAAGCTTTCAGCTGTTAGGGAAAATGTAAGAGCCTTTTTGTTAAAGGCTCCCTCAGAAACACACACACACACACACACTCATGTCTGTTTTCCCGCGCGCCCCAGCTGCAATTTGGGTGTTTCATTTTTTAGGGGATCCCCCTCCCCACAAAAAAAACAAAAACAGGTGGGTCGGTTTTCCTTGTGGCTTCCGTTCAAAGCCATAACCCCCCCCCCGCCCAAAAAAAAAAAGGAAGAAAAGAAGAGGAACAACAACAACTCGTGTTTCTGCTTCGGGCTTTTGCTCCTTGGACACCAACTCCCTCAAAAAGACAGACCCACTTCTGCCGGAAAAGTATACGATTTCCCTTTCACCAATGAAAAACTAAAACTTATCGTATCGTTACTTCCCACTATCAACAAAACTTGACTTTTTGATATATTTTCCTTTATCATTCCCTAGGTCCTCCAGTAGAGAGGTTCGATTAAGGGTACCCGATTTTTTTGTCTGTAGTAGGAGGGCCCTCCCAACCAAAAAACACGGCAGAGAAAGGGCACGACTGGCTGGGGCACCTAGTTCCCTTCGCCCATCAAAAGGCTTTTTCCCCTGGGTTTTGATGGTTTCCTGAAAGGATCGCTGGAAAGAACAGAAATGGAAGGTACCCCTCGAATATTTTCCCCTTTAAAGGCAAAATCTGACACCCTATCTCCTTCACTCCCTTCCAACCACCAGCTGAACTTGCCTTTTTGGATATGTTTCCCTTTATCCTTCCCTTCACCAATCAAAAAGGCGAAAGCGGCCTTGACAGGGCTCAGAGTTGCACGTCACGCGGCGTTCCAGCACCTTCCTCGTCCGCTAAACCGGCGAGCGTGTTCGACCCGAGATCCCCCCTACCTTAACGGGGCGGGGGGTGGGGGTCCGGGACCCCAGGCCATTGATTTACTCTTCCCCACAAAAGGGACAATGGGTTGCCATAAATGGAGATCTCCAGGGGTCGATTTCACTCCTCCCCGAATCAACCATTTTGAAGGGACCCGGTGGGGATGCGGTGGGTTGCCCAGGCGAAAATGCACCCAAGTGAGCTCGTACCTGGTAGTTTAAGGGGTGGTTCAAGGGGGTGGGTTTCCCAGTTACCCCTTCCAGTACAAGTAGAGGCCCGAAAACGCACCTCAAGTGGGTGTTTCTCAAAATCGTCATGCCCTAGAATGGTTGGCTTCCTTTTGGATTCCCCTGAAATGTCGGCTTTAAATCCAAAACCAAGCCACAAATTAAGGCTTGCCTGATATTGAGGGTGAGTCATTCCTGCCACAAAAACCCAAACATTACAGGTGAACCTTTTGAGGCTATGACTAAGAACGAACAAACATCGGCAAACCATTTGGTTCGGTAGCAAACCTCAAAGTTTACTGATTGTTGACAGTTTGGTAGTGGAGCAGTTTGAGTCGCAGCCCATTGAAACAAGGATTCTTTGGTAAACTAATTTACTAATATCACATTTGGTGATGACCAACCTGCTTCCGCACCCCCCGTTCCGCATCTTGGCTCGCTCTTGTATAGACCGGCTCGCTTGGAACGAGTCTAAGGGTCGATGTTGGATGCTTCGGACCCCTTGGTTGCCATTTGAACTCAGGGGGGTCTTTTTGCAGCCTGTGGAACAATGATCGACCCCTGGTAGTGAAGGATTCCTATTTGAGGGGGTCGCGCTTTTTATCTCACAAACAGTGGCAAAAAGACACCCCTGTTTGAATTTCTCCTTTGATGACACGGTCAAAGCATCGAATGGCTTGGGCCTTGGCGAATTCTAACTGCGGCCGCGTGTCGAGCATGGTGCGCCCCCGTACATAGGGTGGGACTCCACGATTCGAGTCCTCAGCCGGGCGTGGTCGCTTCCCACATCTTCCCAGGAATGGTTCCAGGGCTGATGAGTCAAAACCGGTGTCTTTCTTGTTGAGGGTACATGTTTTTGTTCGTGGTTTCCAAAGGGAAACACCCTTTTTGGCACGTCCCCTAGAAAAAAATCAGCAAGACGCCCAACTCGGGTGTATGCGATGTGGAGGTCAATTCACTTCTTCGGGAGGCTGGAGTCTCTGCGAGTCTCTCCATCAGCTTTTAGGAGTTCTTGGAGCAACTCTGACAGCCCCAGGTTTCGCCCAAATTGAATCTTTGCCTTTGCGATAGCGCAAACAATAGCTGTAAAAAAATGGGCAATGCCCCCCTAGACAAGCAATAGCAGTTGGCTACCAGAAAACTTGTCAGCTTCTAGCTGCAGCCAGCGATGGTAGACAAAGGCACCCTTTAGGGACCCCATCAAACAAACAATTCAAGAGAAAGCCAGTCGGCAAAACCCAGTCTTTCTGGGGGCCTTGAATTTCCTGGACAACACCCCGTGTAAAGGATTCACTTCAAGCTTAGCTTGAAAAGATGTTCGAACCGTCGGTATGTGTACACCATCTCTCTGCATCTCTCTGCGACAGGACATGAAATGAGCACAATCTGCAATAATGTTAACCCCGGATTAATAAACCCCTGGTTGATTCGTAGGTGTCCCCTTTTAGTGGTTGGATTCAGACCACTTTTGGAGGGGCTTTCACCCCCTAATAATGGGACGGGTTCTACTTAGATCCTGGGTCAACCTTACCCTCTTTTCCAATGGGTTTCATCTGCTTGCAGGACTCCTGGTAGCTCCGAAAGGCTCCCTCTTCCATTTGCTTAAGCCTGGAAAACATATATAGACATATTTCCAGTAGTGAAATCGATTCCCTTTCAAACCAGCAAGGCATAGTGAAACATATTCTCAAGCAAATGGAGACGATGGAAACTTTGGGGCACATCAAGCCCAAACGAGAGAAGCGGAGAGAAATAATGGCAACATATTCTTAAGCAAAATGGTTGCCTTTAAAGGCAAAATGTGATACCTCTAGCTCCCTGACGGCTCCCTTGCAACCACCAGCTAGCATACATGGAAGCCCCAGAAGCGGAAACTGGAAGCTGGCGAGGCGCTGTCGAACGGTTCCGCCCCCGCAACTCCGAGAGCAGGTGCCTGCGGGCGGAAGGACTCAATGCATTCCAAGGTGTGCCATGGACTGGTCATTTTTGCAGCGGGTACTCAGCAGGGAATGAGGGAATGAACCTAGGGATTCCCTTAAGGGAAGCCATACGGGATGGTTTGATGATGAGGTGGTGTATCAAGACCCCACCCCACCCAGATTTTGAACACCAACACAAGGAGAACATCGCCACATATTGCTACTCAACAGCTGGGAGCACTTGCCACGTCCCTTCAAAACCGATTAGGGGAACATCACCGGCCCACGCGAGCCGGCGCATTGCGAACCCTGAATTGAACGCAGCGCATTTTCAAGGGGAGGCAGTTGTCTCTCGCAACCATCCCACAGTGTCCCACAGTATGAGTCAACGAGGGGTTCTACTTAGAAGTCCAAACTGTTTGCTTGCTACTCAATCGGTCTTCCTTGTGATGTCCATATCATATTTTCCCCTGCCCTTAAAAACAAAAAACAATAAAAAGTCTGCTAGCCCCAAGGAGGTACCAAGCTGAGGTCCTGTTTTTTTCAGGGGGAGCCTCCGGCCCCCTTCCTTGTGCTGTTCCACCCCCTCAATATGACCTCCTTGGTACCTTGGGGCTAGCAGACTTTATGTTTTGTTCTTCCTTTTTTAAACTAGGTCCTCCCGTAGAGAGGTTAGAATAAGGGTCCCCTTTTTTCTGTATAGTCTATTTTAGTAGTTTGGAACCCTCCAAACCAAAATGAAACGGTAAAAAGTTGTTCAGGTCCCCGGCTTCGGCCCTCCAGCCCTCGCCGAGCGCCGCGCCCAGGTCTTTCCAGCGGCTCATCTGGCAGTCCACCGGGCAAAGCTGCTCGCGGCACGGCAGCTCTCGCTCCAAGTCCGGGCAGCTCAGGCCACCTGCGTTGGCTGCGGTTGGGTGGTTGCGGCCGCTCTGTCCAACCAAAAAAAGGCTACGGCTTTGCGAAAGAAAACAAAAAAAAACAAAAAAAACAGACCCCCCCAAAGAAAAATATAAAGAGAGACACAAAGAACTGTAACTCACGTCCGATCGAGTGGCCAAAACAGGTCTGAAACCACCAAAATGGTCATTCCAACAAGCGACTAAAGTCCACGAACACAGGAAGTTAGACAAAAACATCATCCAACAACAGTGAAGGGGGTTGGCCATCTACTTTCACCGCTTTTGAAAACCCCGCAAAAGGGGGGAACCTCCAAAACATGATTGCTGTAACGACCCTTCGGCAAAAAGTAGATCACTTATTGTGGGCAATTCGCAAAATCCGCTTCCTGTTTTCACCAAACAAGATAAAGTTTTCAAAGATCCTGACTAGCAAATAGCCGTTTCAAGGCTTGGTGGTGTTTCCTTCATTTGGGGGGGAGATCCATAAAAGGCGGGGGGATGGGCTCCGCACCGGCAATCCTGCGCAAGGAAAGAACATATACCATCGATGCATGGTGTGAACCTTTCGAACTGCATGGCCTTGTGATTCAAGTTTGGCACTGGCCGCGCGCATGGGCAAAGGCAGGGCGGCAACTGCTGACATGGAGTTGCCGACCGGCAACTGTGCAGAAGGGAAACACAAAGGAAGGAAGCGCTGCTTGCTTGCATGCAGGGCTGAATTGACAGGGTGCCAAGCGGAATTGGTGGGAGGGCTCCTCAAAAACTTGATTTGGATTGGTGCTTTGGAAGGTTCGGCCACCGGGTGCTGTTTCTGGAGTCGTTTGGGGAACCACCCTGTAGGTTTCAAGCATCCACAAGTCACACACTGATTCATGGGGAGACTTTGCTGCGGAGAAAGCTGATTGTGGACCGAATCGAGCATGTGGCTTCTAAGCAGGGAAAACCCAAAGAAAAAAACTCACTAGCCATCAGGATGGCTTCGAATCAGGGTATGCACCAAAATATGAGTGTTCCATCAATTTGTCAGCCTCAAACATAGACAAATGTTCTGCGCATGCCTCAATTCAAACGTCGTTGGCCCTCTTGACTGGCTGCTCAAAATGGAGTGTTGGATAGTCTTGATCCACAACCCAACTTGCAAAACTACTACAAAGGGAAGGCGAGGACCCAGGATTGCCTTTGAACAGCCTAGCCTGGTAAACCTAAAAGCATGATACAGATATGATATATATATATATATATGTACAAATATACATCATATATATATATATATATGCAGGACACAGATATGATATATATGTACAAATATACATCATACATATATATATATATATGTGTGTGTGTATGTATGTATGACATGTACATACGTTTGAGAGGAACAGAAGCTCGGCTCGCCGCGCCCCCACCTTTCCCCCCGCCCATCCCCCGAAGCGACGCGCCTTCCGAGGCTTCAGCGAGGACCTCCCGGGCTTGGCGCAAGATGCCCCCGCCGCAGGTGGCGGTGCAGCTGCTCATGTTCAGCCAGGCTGAGACTTGGCAGTCCTAATGGCAGGTTTTAGACGTTGACCCAAGAGCTTTTGTGGAGCCCCCACCCCCCACAAGTCAGCAGGTTACAAACCCATCTTTGGAAAGGGCAGGTTTTAGACATCGACCCAAAGAGGCTTTTGTGGAGGGGGTGTGGGGGTTGGGTAAGGGTAATGAGCCACGGGTACCCCCTCCAAGTCAGGATATTCCCTTAACCTCAAGGCAGGTTACCAACCCATCCTCGGAAAGGGAAGGTTTAGGCATTGACCCCCTGGCTTTTGCGGAGGGGGTAGGGGGGTTGGGGGGGGGGGGGGGGGTTTTTGAATTTCCCCAAATCAACAGTTAATGCATTTGAAAATCATTTGCTGGTGGTTTCCATTGAAACGATCGGAACAAACTTTGGAGGTTCCAAAAAGGGATGAAAGGATTCCGCCAATCAAAAGCTACAAGGGACGGGCACCAGAAATAGGTGGGAGCATGGTTCTGGGTAGTCTATTTAACAGGGTGTCTAGGCCGTTTCAATGCAAGCCCCCAGCAAATGGATCAATTTTAAACCGACCCCTGGAGCGAACGAAGCTCTGGCATCCATTCCATTGCCAGGGCACTTTTTGCACCCCACATTAATAGGGACAATTCCCTTTTCCGCCAGGGGTTCAGATCCCTAACCACTCCTTCAATCCCCTGATTGGAGGGTACCTGATCAGTGGGGGTCCTTGAGCTCAGCAAAAAAAAACAAAAAATCTCGGTAGGCTACAAAAGGAGCTTCCCCTCCAGTGGTCTGAATGCCCAAAACCCAGTTGAACACCCCCCTATGCAGTTGAGGTGGTGAGGCACTTCTAGTGCTACCTCGATTTCTACTTGTTTGAGCTTGTCATGTACATGGAGTTCATTACTAAACCCCAAAACCCCAAAACCCCAAAATCCCAAAACCCCATTTCTTTGAACATATAATTAAAAATTATAAATTAGAGACAGTACTGGTTCTTCTGTTTTTTTTTGTTTTTTTTTTGGGGGGGCAAGGTATTGTACGAGTAACAGTTCCAGATCAATTTTTCAATATACGCTTACCTGTCTGGGGGCTTCTGACAGGACCAAGCTTTAGAAATCTCAGACTGGGTTCAAACTAAGGGGCCTGGCAAAAACGCCACGACCAAGCACATCCCTTGTTGCTCTCCTTTTGAGTCTTGCTTTTTTTGAGGGCACCCCCTTGCCTGTGGTTTTGGGGAGTCCCATTAAAACAAACAAACAAATAAACAGGGCATGACACGGCATCAGCGTAGCCCCCCCCCAACCGAGAGCCGAGGGTCTAGGCCCTTCTGAAAGAAGTGCCCCACGCCGGTGACGCTGGCATTCGCTTCGGCCCCGGGCCTCGGCAATTGGCTCGCAAAGGGTTGAGGTGTGTTTTGTTTAACTCGCCATGGCTTGTGGGATTGGTTATGGGGCGTCAACCAACCAACCAACCCCCTGGCCGGGGTTAAGCCCCGGGCCGGGCCTAGAAGAAAAAAAACGGTTCCCTCACAAAGAGTCATGCCAAAAAAATAGGGGTGGCTGATCAAGATTCCCGGCCCCAAATCACCAAGGGTACTTGTTTGGCAAGCAACATCCATCTTTTTGGTGGTCTCCTTCCAAATCACCCGGGGTAATTGTCCAATTTTCGTGGAACACATCATCCGTTTAGTGGTTTTCCTCAATGGTCCCCATGTAAAGGGCCCTTTAAAAGCTGAAAAGGGGTCGCCACAACACGACACCCCGTGTGTATGTCTATTACAGTACCCTTGTCTGCCTTGCCTTGGGCGAATCGACCAGTCTGACCTTTGGGAACCCGTTTCCCCTTGTTGGGTTCCCATTCTTAGTCATGGCCCAAAAAGGTTAACCTTTTACTTCTATGTCTTTCTGGGTCGGGGGCAACTGAGCTTTGGATCTGGAAATCATTGGCAGATCTGAAAGTAAAGAGCCATAGGGAACAATTGGCAGCCATGATGAGAATCCAAGCCTTGTACAAGGGGTACGTACTGCCACCTGCTCCCTTTCATGACTCTGTGCGTGGGGACCCTATTCCAGACATGGTTTTTGAAACACTGATCGACCGTTGGGTTGCCTTGTCATCGACAAATGACATAAACCAAATTGGCAAAAGGTCGATTCGCCCTGGCTACCAATGGAAGACCTTAACCTGTGCAAATGGTTGATAAATTACAAAGCTCAGATAACTTGCCGGTGCTCAGTAGGGAATGACCTTCGGGATGTTGGGAATGAACCTAGGTTTCCCCCTAAAACATATTGTTTATAGGGGTCATTTCCTCATTGCCTGCCTATCAAACCAGCAAGAGAAAGACCCTCATAGGTAAGCTCGAACGAGGAAACATGGTAACGTTGCTGGCAAGATGCAACATGATAGGACAAGTATCCCAGACCGTTGCCATCGGCAAACAGGAAAAGGGCCCCTTTAAAGGTTTCCGGTGGACTTCTTAAAGGCAATCTCGTCAAAAAGAAAGTGGGATTGCCCTCCCTCTCACGATGCCATGGCACCTGACCGGGAATTGGTCCCTGCAAGAAATTGATCTTTCAGGCACCTCTCATATGTGCCATGGCTGGGAGGGAGGGTACCTCATGTTCGATCTGTCCGGCTTGGTCCTTTCGAAGTCCCCAAAACCAACTTGCTTCTTGTCAGTAGGAGGCCTTACCATGCTTTGCGGATCGACCCTCCAGGATTAGAAGCAGTCAACTGAGTCATCGCCTAAACGTGTCATGATTTGCTGTGTCGCACCATTTTGCCGCCACAAAAACAAACAAACCAAAACCACCTCACGAGATACGCCACCAGCCTACGCCACACGCCCATCGAGCTTTGCCTATGCACAATTCCGTGTCACGTGGCTCTTTCTAAACATGTACACAAAAGGCTTCGGACGCTGCAAAACTGGGTTTTGGGAAAAGGATGGCGAGCCTTTGCCTTCTCTCCAAGGACACATTGGTTTTCGGCGGGCCGGTGTGGCACCACGGGGCTCACAAACAACTGAGTGTAGGTACTCCGTTTTGGGCGTAGGGTTGGGCAGTGGATTGGGGTGTATGCCAGCAACAAGTTCATACTCCCAAACCTGCAGTGGACATGGCAAACAAGGAGTTGATTTGAACTACCCAGACGCTTCCAATGGAAGACCCGGACCCTCCATTGGACACCCCAAAGGGGGTTTGGGGGTTTGGGGTCTCAAAACCTGGCCGTTTGAGGGCCCAAACTAAATCGGGAGCGTCTGGGTAAAGAAACGGACAGCCAGGCTGAACACGTCCCTTTGGCACTGGCCTCCTTTCGGGCCGATTTATCCGAGGGCAGCGCTCCGGATATATCAGCGCAGGCGTTGTCTCCTGAGTTTGCATCCTTTCGCCTCTCCAAATACCAACTTTCTAGGGGAACCTTCCCCATTCTTTCCAGGGATCCGAATCTTTTCAGGAAACCAAAAACCCAGGAGAAATAGCCGGTGATTGAAAAGAACCATGGTTGAAAAGAGTGGGGAATCAACCAATTCTTAGCTTTCCAACCCCAACGCTATGGCTTGGCAAAAAAGGCAGTCTGCCTCTAAAAATGAAGGGAAACAAACAAACAGCTAAGCTTTTAACTAAACACAACAGTGAAGCTAGGGCGTATTTAGGTGTGCCCTTTTGTTTAACACGGTTCCCTTTGGGGAACCCAATTGAAAAGAAACCGATGCAAACAAGTCGGGGGTCCCCCCCAAAAATGACCACGCCCATTCTGAAACACAAGGCTTTCCATTGCAAGTACCTCCTTTAACAATTGACATGACGGCATCTCTATTCTTGGTATGGTAGCAAAAAACTTTGTTTTTGCAGACCCCCAGTAAAAATGAACAGAACCAAAAAACTAAAAAACTAAAAAACATGCCAAGAACAGTGAAGAAGGCCTGTCCTCGTACCGGTCTTATGATCTAAGGCCTGCGCAAAGCCTTGGCTTGGCTTGGATTGGTGGATTGGAGCTGTTTAGAGCTGGGGAGACCATCCCCAAACCACCAATCCGCCTCACCAACCGAGGGCTGTTGCTGTTGAAGGGAAACAAAGAAAGCCACAACAAACAAAGAAGGGTTCCCCTATGATAAGTTCTCACGCCGTTCAACAGGCTTGGCAACACAAAGCTGCGTTGTACATTGATTAAGTCATGGGTGTACTCTAGAAAACGGTTTGGATGCGCTTTCTGTGGATTTCACCAGTTCCTCTCCCGGTTGCTTCTTTTTTAGTAATCGTTTAGCACTCTTTTAGTCTTCTACAGGGGTGGATCCACAAAAACCACATCGAAACCGTTTTCTATACGGCATCCAGAAAATCCGAAGGCCGAGGAAGGCCATTGCGAGGGCCTCCTGGTCGTTTTGTGACATCTGAACCAGGGGTTAGCCATAAACTGGAGAAAGGGCCCCCTATGTGTTTTTCTGGGGAGTAGGGCCAAACCGCCCAAACACTCTTGTACGGACACAGTTTTCTCACTTCCTGAGTCTGGATTGGCCAACAAAAAGTTTTAAATGTTCATTTACCTCTAAAATGGGCTTCCCCAGAAGATTTAAGTCCAGTCCTCAAGTGAGTTTCAGGAAACGACAACATGTCGCCTTGAAGGGGCTGATGAAAAGAGGCTTCTTAAATGCACGCCCGGCGCCTGGCAATACAAAGGGTGACCGACCATCCAAGCCTCAGGGTGGTCGTTCTTTAGGGCTTCCCCAAAAATGGATTTGTTTCTGCTCTTGGCTTCCTTTTAAACAACACCAACAAAAGGTGCCAACTGGGTGCCCCAAGATGGATTCGTTTTGCGACTCTTGGTTTCCCTTTTATACAACACAAACAAGTTGCCAACTCAAACAGACACTAATGCCACATCTTCACGGGAAAACTTTTTAAGTCAACATGACTGACATATCGACACCTTCCAACCCACGTGTAGCAAGAACGAACATGTTTTTGCAACCTCCACTATCACTATACATATATATATATATATTCATGAACAAAAGAAAACAGGCAAAAACCGTCTTCCATTCCAAGCACCCTATCCTTCTCTCTCCGGAGTCCTGAGTGATGCTGGTGGGAAATGTCCAGATCTTCTCATGGCTGTGCACCTCAGGTGCCCGGATGGATCCAAGTTGGCAGGCCACAAGCAGACCCCAGAAACGCCCGCACACATACCTGGAGACCTATGGAAATGTCCATGGCGTGCAACGGGTACACTCCGAGTTGGCCAAATTACCACCGACCGCATCCCGGGAATCCTGAGATGAACGGATCGCGAATCGGCCGCTCCTTGGCACACGAAGGTCAGGCGCTTTGGTTTGGATTTGAACAACTGGTTCTTGAGGCATGGGAGCCGTCCCAGCCTGCAAACCCCCAGTCCAATTCATCCATTTGCGCTCTTTGTCCCGTGACAAAGCAACAAAATCGTATTCCGGTCGTGATCGATCCTTTAAAACCAACAGGGGAAACACAACAGGCACTAAGCAATTGGAAGCAGACAAAGCCGCGAAGCTAAGACCAGAGCGAAGGCGGCGAATGGGGTGAGCAGCAGCCCTGGGCGAACCAAATATTCTGGGCGAGTCAGGGGGGGGAGGTACCCACTTTGGGCTGGTTTCAATCAACCCATTTTGGGGTTCCAAATCTCGGTTTTGAGACTCTAGCGACCCCCATGCCCATAAGGGGAATCCGTTATTTCTTCACCCGCCTTTCACTCTTCCTCCGAAAAGGAACCTTCATCATTCACCCTTCCCTGTTTCCTCGCATTGTTTCTTGGCTCCTGGCTCGTCCCAGAGACGGCTGGAATTTGGCTACCGGAAACTCAAGGCTCTGAACTGACCACCTCCAAGCTGTCTCCTCGGAACTAGGCTGCAAGAAGAGGACCACAGCAAAAACATATTTTTTTGCTGGGTAGTGGGAAACAAAAGGAACTCCAAAAAGAAAAACATAAAAAGGAAAACTCATTCTGGGAAAGGGGATAAGACCTCAAGGCCCTCATCAAGCTATGCAGCAACACAGAAACTTCCAGACGTGTTGGCCCGGCTGTTCGCCCGATCTGAGGCCTATCCAAAAAGAAAACACCAAATCCCCGGCAACCGGCAGGAGTGGCTCAAGGGTGCCCATGGACTTTTGGTCCTACTAGTAACGACCACCTAGTAAGATTTTGACATGGCCAATGGGAACCGGTGTTGGGCGCTGCGCAAAGAGAAGCGTGACTCCTGAAAAAATGTGTCAAGTCCAATTGAAAAGAAACACACAAAATGTGTAGCTTCGGATTTATCCGGTTCCCTCTAGTCAGGGAACCCCGCTCCCTAAAATAGATCATTTTCCCACTCAAAGGGGAGCCACCCCTGGTTCGTACGGTCCTCCTCGCCATGGAGGCGCCATGAGCCTATGGGCGATGCCACGACAGGTTCTGGGGTGAAACTCGGACCAGACTTGCAACATGGCAAAACATATGAAGCCTCCACATCTACACCCGCAAAACATAGGGTCATGACATTTGAGCTTTGGATATCCAGTCGCTTAATTCAGCCCCCTGGAAAAATGAGGACGTAGTGATATCGATTCCCTAGAGAAAAACAATCCCAAAAAAAATATTCTGAAGCAAATGGAAGACATATAAAAACTACGCAGAATCCAAATCAGGGAAGCCCCCAAATACAGGACCTTCGTCACATGCTGGACAAGGAGATATGACATGAACGATCAACCCATCAGAACCTCAGTGTGCCCCATTCTTTGCCAGGTGTCGCACATCTTGATGGGTCCAGCTCTGCCGCAGTTGGCGCAACTGTTGGTGCTCCTTGGTCAAACTCCTTCTCTCTCTCTCTCTCCCTCTCTCTCTCTCTCTCTCTCTCTCTTTGTCTCTCTTTCTCTCCATCTCTCTCTCTGAGGGCTTTAGGGGATCTCTCACTCTTCGTCTCTCCACTGCACACTGCAACATTTCCCACAGCAGGCAAGAGGATAGTCCGCGTGTCAAAGTTGGCATGAAAAGAACTACTGGTTCAAATTTTAGGGTCTTCCAAGTTCAAGCGTTTTGTTTTGGCCACCACTGAACAAAGGCAACACAATGGGTGAATATGTTCTTTGGACCCCCTTTTTGTTGGTTCTAAAGGGAAGCCAAAAGGACACAAACTTTGAAAGTTCGGCTTGAAAAAAACACATCCGGTCCAGTTCGCCCCCAGCAACTTTCCATCTGGTTAAGGCCCCAGGAAAAGAAAAATAATATTTCCAGTAGTGATGAATTCCCTTTAAAACCAACCCAGGAGAAAAACAAATCCTAGGCAAATCGAGGGTAAAGGTCAAACCAAAAAATCACAAGGCGCCACCATGGAGTTGCTCGCGCTCTCCATAGAGATCGCAACCTGCGCTTGGCTTAAGCGCGGCCGTCTCCAAAGTGAACCACTTGGTTAAACGGACCCACCACCGGCGAACAACATGCGGGTGTTGCTGTTTTAGGGTGCCCTCCTGTTTTAGTCTGGCTCAATCGAAAACCACATGGAAAGTCACATTGGCATGTATCAAAATTGGCCAAGAGACATGTCATGTCATGTCTCTTGCCCCCCGAATTTTGACATATACCCATATTCCTGCAAAAGCCTGCTTTGAAAGAGGGGCATGACAGAAACCCTAGAATGCGAAAATGAAAGGACACGTTTGTCGACAGTCCGGCAATCAAAAGGTCTTCCCGCAGGCCGGCCTTGGAACCCAAACAGCCCGCTTTGCAAGAGGTGTGCTTTTGGCCCCCTTGGTGCAGCCAACACAGTGCCCTTGCGACAGTAGCGGAGAAACATACCAAGAGCAGGGTACTCGTTATCAACGCATTTTCCCGATGAGCGTGGGCCTTTTCGTCAACATACATGCCGGAACAACACGCGGCTTTAGGAAAGGATCCTCCTGCTTCCAAGGAGCTGGCCCTCCCTGGTCCCTTGTGAGATTGTCATTTCTGGTTGCCCGTGTCACACAAAGTGAGCCTAACGCATTTGCTCTTCGTGCACGTTCGAGGGCGTCCTCGCGCCGTACAACTCCTGCAGTGTCCAGGACTTTCCGCAGAAGCATTGCTGAACGAATCTTGTGCGGAACCTCTTTCCACAAGAGATCTTCTTTCAGAAGGCTTCTAAGGGCTCGTGCAAGACCCTTCGAGAACGAGACCCTGCGGACACTTCAGGAAACTCTGCACAAAAGCAAGTGAGCCTCTGCTTCGGCTACTTATGTCACCTGCGTGGGCTCTTGTCTCAAAATGCTGTCTAATCCTTATTGACCACTATTTGGGTCGCCGCTGGCCGGGATCACGCGCGATCCTGGGATTTTGACTATAGGTCCTCCAGTAGAGAGGTTAGAATAAGGGTACCAACTTTTCTCTGTCGTCTATTTTAGTAGGGGAACCCTCCGCCAAAACAGGGTGAGAAAGGGCACTACCGGGGAACCTAGTTGACCAACCTCTCTGCCCCCCCCTTGGCCTTTCCGGGTTTCCCTTGCTCCGCACCACCCCCCTCCATCCCCCCCCCCCTCCGCGCCCAAGTTTTGCGCGCCTGGAAGATGGAGAGCGTGGCCTGGTCCGTGTCCCAAGCCGCCAGGAAGAAGCTGCTGCCGTCCGCAGTCAGCTCTGCCTGGATCACCTCAAGAGGTCAGCGGCCATAATGCTGACCCCATACGCTAATCAACCCTGTTTTTTTATCGTTTTTTGTCAATCAATAGGGGGTTGTCCGATTCTGGCTGAATTGTGGGGAATCAGACCACTCTTGGAGGGGCCCCTACCCCCCTATGAGTAAACTGGGGTTGAGTAAAATGGGGTCAGCGTTACCCCAGTCGCTCAGAAGCGAATTGGCTGGCTCGTCTTCTTTTCGCCCCGCGTGTTCAGTGATAGAAATAAAGGGGCCCTGTGTAGGACCCGCCCCGCGGTCAAAGAAGGGCTCCGCGCTGCAACGAGGCATCTCCTCAAAAGATGGTACCCAAAAGGGCCCCTTGGTATCGGTCTGTCGGGTGAAGCTACCCAACCAAGTAGCTACCTAAACTAAACTAACTAACTAGCTGACTAAGAAACAACAAGAAAGTAACACCCCAAAGAAACCAACCAAAGAAACCAACAAACAACACAGCTTCCTTACCTGGTGATGGAGCCGAAGCGGGGGTGTGGAGCTGAGGTTGGGTGGTTTCACCTATGTATCCCCAAGAACGGGTTCAAACACGGATCCACCCAATCCAATATATCCAATCCACCAACTGGCAAAACACCTGACCACAGATCCAAAAACACTGGGACGACCTTTTCGCTGGACGCCCCCCTCCCAACATGATGCAAAGGCGCCTTATAGACACGACCTATGTTTTGCAAGGTACCACGCCATCTTGGTGGAAGGGAATTTACCAGCTTCAAAGCTTTTGCAGGTGCCAGCTTATCCAAAACAGCAATCAATCAAAGTGATCCACACATGTAAGCAAAACCGGCACCGTGTCCGGCCTGAAAGAAAACATTGGAATCCACATTGGTTTCTTGGAAAGAGGGCTGCTCTGTGTGAGCTTCTCAGGTTCCATGCGCCAATTTGTGGGTCAAAACCAGCAAGTTCAACCACAACTTGCCGGACCCTGTTCCCTGTAATTATTAGTTGTTTCCTAAACGGGCCTGTCTCGTGAGAATTTCCCAAGATTGTTGTTCTTGAACAACCCCAAATGAGTGTACACTCAACCTCACTTTCTGAGCGGGTTGGCCAAACAAGTCAACACGTGTTGTTCACCACTAAAATGTGGTCTTCCCAAAAACATATAGTCAGGGCCACTACAACGGTCTTCCCAAAAAGTGACTAAAGTCCAGAAACTCGGGAAGTGAGCAACAGAAGACACGTAACACCTCACATCATTCAACATCGGCCTTTCCCCAAGGTTCGAAGCACAGCACCGAAAGGGATGTCCCTGGCGAAGCCTTCGAAGAAAGCGACGCCCCAGTAACTGCTACAAAAAATCGCCAAACACTTGGCAAAGCCTTGGGGTCTTTGTTCGTATGTCTTATTGGTTACGGTTGGCATGGTTTGAAGACAAACCCAACAATAGCCCTCGCCAATTTCAAGGCCCAAAATCCAAGACAATCGCCGTGACCCGCGCCCTGCCTCAACCAGCGATCCTGCAAGGTCCTGCCAACGCCCAAAGGGTTTCTTCCAATTTGGTTAAGGCCCCAGCAAATATATATATATATACATACATATATATATATGTATATATACTTCCAGTAGTGATGCATTCCTTTGAAAATCAACAAGGGAACATAAAACATATTCTTAAGCAAATGGAGGGTTTGGTCACTCCAGGACTTGGGCGTGCTGATTTTTGTGCAGGGGTCACTGCAATTGAGTTACGGATGTTTTGATTGAAGCTGCCACTTTTGGTTTCAACTTCGGGGGCCCGCAACAAAAAAAACATGTTTTTGCCCAAACAAAGACTCACTTGCCCAAAGGACCAAGAACTAAAAGGTGATCACCTTTTGGCACCTCTGCTAAACATGTGCCAAAATGGGAAAGCCAAAAGGTCAAAAGGTCGATTCGCTTTGGACAACTGAGAAGAGGGTTTCCAGTCGTTGCTTCTGCTTGGGCACTCTGAAAAACCCAGCGCAGCTCAGCGGGCCCGGTCGCGCCCGGTCGCGCAGAGGGCATCCACAGGCGCTGGGTCCTCCAAGGACTTCTCCACGAGCAGCGGCCGCGGAGACACGGCGCTCTGCGGGCCATCGATACTGCCAAGCGTCACCTGGGAACGAATTCTCGGGAATAGCAACCAAAACCTGCGGGCTGGGTTCGTAACAATCCCCCAAGGGTTCCGAGAGTTCAATCATGCCCTCACTGACTCAAATACGGCATTGCATTGCCCGGCTGCGACTCGGTGGTAATCTGCTCCCCTGCTAAAAGTGAATAGCTTTTAGCGGTTTAATACGGAAAACCTATTCATTGGCAAAAAATCAAACTCCGAACGTCCCTTGGCAAATTGTACCAAAGATTCGAAAGATTGAGGGGAGACCTTCCAGGTATAAAATCAGCTCATTCACGAGACTTGTGTTGCGTTGAGGTCTTGCTTGATTGTATGTCAGGTGTTGTCAAAAAGACACAGTTGGCAGGGGCTAAAAAAAACACATTTGGCACAAGTTGTCATAAATCTCTCGAAACAATCTCCAAAAGTCCAGTCAACCTTTCAGGGTTTGGCTGGGAACCGCCCCTGAAGGATGGCCACCACAAATAAACGTCACAAGAAACCGGACTTTTACACATCAGGTGGTACATGGAATTCTCAGCATGGGCGACGTGCATGTTAAATTCGAAAGCATAACCATGATGGCCATAAGTGACTAGTAATGATCCCCTACTCCATCCCGAGGCGTGAACCAATAAGGGTACCCTTTTTTCGGTCAAATTTAGTAGGGCACCCTCCCAACCAAAAAAGGGTGAGAGGTCGGGCACCGATCGCTGGGGGCCCGAGTAAAAGCAGGGGGCCGAGGCGACGGCGCCTGCGATGGTGTGGCCCAGAGCAGGTAGGTACCAGCAGCCGATAGGCTTTGAAGCGGCCCCAGGTTCTTCCCCACGTCCTGAACGGGCAGTGTGTTCAGCCGGTGCGGGCGTAATGGCTTGGTGCGCTCAAAATAGAGGCACACCCAACATGGCTGGTGTCCCGTTTGGCGTCCCTTTGAACAACCAGACAGGGCTTCCCCAAAACAAAACACCCCCCCAAAAATAGGGTCTCCAACCACTGCTGTTTGGACAGTGCTTGCGATTTTTGGACATGGGAAAAGCAGACACGTTGGGGTTGCCGGGGGGGGGGGGATCCCAAATCACAAGTGCTTTCAGATTTGAGTCGAAAACATCCATAGAATCAGGAGAGCTGTTTGGCAAGCTGTTCGTCTCCCAAGGTGTACCAGCCAAGCAACCTTTGCCTCACTTCTACGAACCTGGCGGAATAGTGAGATCACCATGAACACAATCAATATCTCACTTCCGATCGAGAAGATGGGCCGAAAAAAGTAATTGCAAACTTTGTGTATACCACTAAAATGGTCCAGGAACTTAGGGAGTGAGACATGGGGCGCGGGAGGGGGCAATATGGAACTTGCAAAACAACACCAAAAGGCCGAGTGGGGACCCAACTGCCACAAAAGGAAAGACCCCGGAGGTGTTGCACCCCAGTTCCATTCCGCTAGTCTCCCCTGTGAAAGCCAAAAATGGAACTACACATGGAGATCTCCAGGGGTCACCCACTTCACAAACTCCATTTTTGCAGGGGTGGGCATGTTAAAGTATGTTCATCCCCCCAAAAATGCAAGCCCATAAGTGGGACACCCTCACCTCCACTACAAGGTGGACACCTAAATTCGTTTGGGACCAAGAATGCATTCCTCTAGTGCTACCTTCCCCATTCTTTCCAGGGATCCTTCTTTCCAGAAAACCTCCGGAAACGGATCCGGTTTCTCGAAAAGAACGATGGTTGGAAAGAAATGGGGACAGAACCCCTAGAAAGTTGGGATCTCCCCTACCAAAAACAAAAACATTCCACTTGCTTGGGACATTGCAATGACTATTTCTCTGGGTTATCCATTATCATTTTGATTTCATTGCATTGACAATTCTTAGAAAGGACCTCACTCTGAATGAGTGAATGAACTGAAAGAAGTCCGGCTCTCCCGATCCCTCCTTGTAAAGCTCCTGCACCGCGGGCGTGTTTTTGCCGGACGACAAGAGCGCCTCGGTGGCAGTTCTTACCACCGAAAGCCCAGGTACTCTGGCAGAGGAATATCTACAAAATTACCCTCCCACCATCCACCAGCTAACATGGAAGTGGACAGACCCCTGTAACAAAACTTCTTTCCTCTGGGAAAGGGCCTTTTGCACTTCCATGTGAGTTGGTGGGAGGGTAGGCGTTTTTGTCTAACATTAGGTTGTAACCTTTTTTACAAACAACTTACTCACCTGGAGAAGGGTGTAAACTGGGCTGTGGAAGCGGCCCCCCTTCTCGTAGTGATCCACTACTTGGATGTTGGATGTGCTCCACTAACAACAGGGTTAACTCCACTGAACTGGTGACTTAGGTGTTGTTTGTCTTGCGACATATTTTCCCAATGTTCCATGGAGTCAACCCAGCCCTTCGGGGCAGGTATCGGGAGCCCACTCATTCGTCATCTGCCAGGGTTCCCTATTTCTTGCTGGTGCTCAGTAGGGAATGCGGGAATGAACCCAGGAATTCCCTTCAAGGAAACACAGGGCATGGTTTATGAGGGTCCTTCCAGTGATCATTCCCTGCCCATCGCGCCACACCATCGCTCCACCAAATAACCCGTGAACTGACAGAACTGGAGACTCAGTGACGCAAGATTCAGCAGGCTCTGCAAGATGGAGTGGCCAATGCGAATCCATAATCCCGTGTTCGAGTCGCCAAGTGAGCAAGTTGTCAGCCACTTACAAGCCACCAGCTCAGGAGAGCTAACCCTGTTGGTGGATTACAACCCAAGTGGCAAACCGCACATCCAAGTAGTGGATCACTACAAAAGTGGCCGTTTCAAGGGAAACCAGAAAACTGATCCAACTTTTTAACTCGGGGGACTTCAGTTTCCCCTGGTTTACCGCCAATAGATCTCTCATGCGGCAAACTGCAAAGTATCCGCCCAGGGCACATCCTCATCGATGCGGAGAATGCGCCTCGTGTTCGGCCCAGCGGGGCCGGGGCCATTGCCCGCGAATCAACTAACATGGTCCATTTATGTCCCTCTCACTTCCGATCGAGTAGAATGACAAACAACGCAATCGTTGTTTTCCACTAAAATTGTGCTCCCAAAAAATAAATAAAGTCAAGGAACTCAGGGACTGGAGTAAACAAGTGGGGCACTTCCAAGGGCTCTGAAAAGGGCGCACCTGGTGCCCTTTGAATATTTGATCGGAGTTGCAACCTCCCATGAGAAAATCCCAGGACGGAAAACACGAGAAAAGTGATTTGCTGCTTATCCCCATTGCTTGACTCGAGCAGCAACCAGCGCCCGTAGCAATGGAGAAGCCTACTTTTTGCAGGTGGCACAAGCCGAGAATAGTATTGGAAGCCATGATCCACCAACCAAGGAAGCAGGTCTCCAAAGCAAGAAGCTGCCGTGGAACAATTCTTTCGTTAGGGGGGTCCCCCAAAAGAAGCTTCCTGTACAAGTTGTGCTTCTTGGGTTCCATGTCAATCTGCAAATAGGAGCAAACACAAATTCACTTCACACAATATCCGTTTACTCATTTTCCGAGTGGATTGGCAAATAGTCCATGATCTTGTGTAATAGTTCATGATATTGTGATTGCTATGTTTACCACTAAGATGGTTTTGCTGAAAAGCAACTCCAGGGAAGTGGAAAGTGAGCTAGCGACTTTGCGCGAACCCTCCCCGAGGTTCAACCGATTTGTGAGCCCAGGCGCCCTTGCGCAGTCCCGAAAAACAGTGAGCCCACGTGCAGCTTCATTCCCACGATGCGCTCAGGGCTGCTTGCATCCTGAGTGCAGGTCCCGCCGCCGCACCCCCTCCATGGGTTCCACTATCCCAAAACCACTACCCCTAGAAAGTGCTATGTAATCACAGTATAAAGGTCCCGATTTTCCTGGGGCAGTGGTTTGGTGGTAGTGGACACCATCCCCACATGCCCAATTGCATGACATCGGTGCCTTGACGCATTTTTTTACCGTCTGCTGTCTGCTCCCTTTTGCAAGGCTCCGACCAGAAGAAAAACCAAAACATGCCAAGGGCAGAACGGTAGCGTCCGTCGACCTTAAAATGGAGAGCTACAGCTAGGGAATCTTGGCCTACAACCCTGGCCCTCCTCGATGATGCGGTCTGGACCCCAAACACATGACAACAGCTGAGAACAGCAATCCCTCGACAATGAAACGGTGGCTTGCCACAGTGCTTCTTGCATACAGCTTTAGCAGCTCCCTGATCAGGTGATTTCTCATGGAATAAATTACATTTTTTGCTGTAGGCATGACTAAATTGGACCTAGGGCTATGTGACAAATAAGCTATAGCAATCCTCATTTTGGCTGACCATGCAGCCCACTGCCAGATTTGAATGCAGATATGTTTGCGCTTTTAGCAACAAGGTCGGGACCCAAATTATGCGACAACTTTGCAGCAGTGAGCTCAAGATATCGATAGTCTGCATGACACATGCCCTGAAAAACAAAAAGCAACAAACAAACAAACAAACACATCAAATCATGTCCGTGGCAACCACGGATTAAAAAAAAGCCTGGAAAGGCCAAAAAGAACCGTGGACAGTCAAGTGGGCTGGTGAGCTATGCTCGCCTTTCGTTCGCTTGACACTTTCTCAAAATGGGAATCGCACCCCTTTTTGAACGGTTTGGTAGACCAAAAGGAAACCACCTACCTGGATTCGTCTCCAAAATTGAGAAACACCCAGACATTGTTGAGAGATGTTGAGAGCATCAATCAGGGTACCTCCTCGGCCGCGGGCCTCCATGCACAAATATCTTCACGAAACACGGGGGTCGACTGATGTCGACCACCTTAGGCTTCCATTTTGTTAAGGCCCAGGGAAAAAAATGTCCAGTAGTGATGAATTCCTTTTAAAAACCATCGAGGGAAAATCAAAAATATTCTTAAGCAAATGGAGGTAGGGGAACCCAAAAACAGGGATTTAGAGGGTGCCGCACAACAGCCTTTACGAGCCTGCAATTGTCTGGTTTGCTCTCCTCCCCAAAGCAAAAGGCTTGACCTGTGGGCAACTCAATGGAAAGAAAGAAAGAAATCCCATTTGCAGATTTTAAAGCTGCTGGGGCCATCTGTTTTTGCAGGGTACCCGTTTTGCTAGGGGGAAAACCGTGGAAAAGACGAGCCACCCATTTGTTTCCACAGTCCACGGTGTGAGGCGTGTGTTTTTCTTCTCTTCACACAGTTTCGGGATCGGATCTGGCCGATGGCCGGGTGGCCAGGTCCAAAACCCGGTGCTTGGAAAAGAAGGAGACCAGGTGGCCCTCTCCCACGCTGTAGGCCCAGCAGGTGATCTCGCTTCCTGGCCGGTCCTTTTCTTCTATTTGGTTCTTCGGCCCCAGAAAAAGTAAACATATTTCCAGTAGTGATGCATTCCTTTTAGAACCAACAAGGGACAATAAAAAATGTATTATTAAGCAAATGGAGGTTTTGGTGTTCTTTCGGGCCAAGCGCACTTCTTTTTTGTTCTTCTCCGGATCACGTGGAGGGATGTGGTGGTTCGGAGGTTAGGGGTGGTCTCCCATATCCCAGAGGAATTAAATGGGCAGCGACTAAACCATGCACATGGGCCGCATGTCAAGTCCCCAAAACCACCAGTTGGGGGATTTCCTGATATAAACGATTCCTTGCGGTTTGCGATGCAGGAGGATCCCCTTCTGGCTGATTTTTTTTTCGAGAACACCACCGTCTTAAACATGGGGGCCCTGCAAAGATGGAAGCCAATATCCATCGCCTGATCGTTTCCTTGTGGAAAAGTTCTTGCTTCAGGGCTCCCTATATTTCCCAACTCAAAACATCACCCCCAAGGGCTACTCACCTTTCATGGTTGCCAAAACGGTGATGCTTAAAACCACCCAGAAGTTGGAACTACCTATCGGGGCCCCTGTTGCAGTCTGAAACGAAAAAAAAATGGCGCGGGGCCCAGCAGAGATTCCTTTCTTTTAGCCCCGAGGAACCGGAGATTTGGGGTTGGGGAACTGAAGCTACGGTGGATTGGTTACGAAATCCACTCAGGCACCACCGATCAGAAACCCCGGTTTCTGTTGATTCCCCAACGTAAATACCGTAGCAAACAATGGTGTCAACCATGGTTGCTTAAGGTCCTCCAGGTTTGGACCCAGAACTAAAAGGTGATCCCAAATTTGGCACCTCTACAAATGGGATTCGCCGAAATGGTTGAAAACCAAAAGGCACCAACCCCCGCCAACAAAGGAACACACTCTAGGTCCTCCAGATTTGAGAGGTTAGAAGAAGTTGGTACCGATTCTTTTTGCGGCTTTGTCTATTTTAGTAGGGAACCCTCCCAACCAAAAAAAGAATCGGTAAAAGGGCACCTAGCTGGGGGACCTAGGAAAAGGAACCGGCACTCTGAACCTCTGGTATTGAAAAGAGGCAAAGGCTGCCGAAAGAGATCTATGGATCTCTCGGCCGCTTCCAGGCACCCAGGCGAAACCATCCATGGTAAAACCTATGACATCTCTACTCTTGGTATGGTAGCGAAAAACTGACTGTTTTTTGCAGACCCCCAGTAAAAATAAACAGAAACAAAAAACTAAAAAATCAACAAAAAAAAACATGCCAAGAACAGTGAAGCTATAAGGAGCTCTGGTTATCTATACCTGGAGCCTCCATGACCCTTAAATGATGTTACTACCCAAACTAAAGGGGTCATAACCCCATTTTAAGGGAAGTGGCAACTGGAGGCACTGGGTCCGTCTCGAGTTTATCTGCCAAATGGGCCCCCTTGCGAAAGGATGGCCATGGATGGCCGGATACCAAAGTTGCCCATGACAATTCTGTCGCTAAGGAGCTTCCCTTGGTATCACAAAGGGGTCTTACATGGTCTATCGTTCCATAGAAGCCAAAAGCAAACCGACCAGTTGTGGGGGGTCCCCTATTTTGAGGCACACCCATCTGTCTCGAACAAACTCCACCCCAAAAAACAAGCCCATGCGGGCTTTGTCCTTCAATTTGGCCGTGGGTCAAAAACACATGTACCAAAATTACACCTTGGTAAATGGAACCAAAGACTAAAACCAGCGTAACCCCAAGTCGTTAGTTTTGAGCCACGGCCATTTTGTCCGGGGTGTGAGGCTGGGGCCGCACCTCCGGCCGGCGCCAAGTAGAGTAGCCGATTCTCGGAGTCCACAGTCATCAGCATTTCGCGATCGGACACCGGCAGCGAGCCTGGCTTGCGCCCATGTCAAACCCAGAAAACGTGCACCCGATCTTGGTTGACATTGGCCGGGGAGCAAAAAAAAACCTTTAGCAGTTCAGTGCTTGGATTCCAACCACTACACCACAATAAGAAAAAAAGCAAAATGTTTCCCAACAACAACCACGGGGGCAAACAAGCCAAGATGAGAGAAGCGGAGCGAAACGTAAGAAAACTATGATGCCACAGGTATGTGACATTTCTCAGGACCGACCCCAATACTGATTCAGAACCTACTGCATGGCAGGTTTATGACCCTTTTCCACGGACAATGTCGCTGCTAAGTGACTCTACATCGCGAAATGAGGCAGGGAATGCACGGCTGACCAAAGTCCGGTCGATGTTTTTTTGTCGGGCTCCTTATACTTGTCTTCTGGATTTCAGAGCCCTCGCAACAGGGGATCTGCCCAAATGAAATAAAACTGGCTGGTGCTCAGCAGGAATGAGGGAACGAACCCCATAAACCATGCCTTGTGGTTTCGTTTACCCTGGGACCTTCCCGCATTCCCAACCTATCGCACCAGCAAGAAAAGCACGGTTGGAAAACCTTGGCTTAACCAATTGGTGGTCTCGAACCGGAAGAAAACCAAACGGTTGAAATGCTCTTCCAGGATGGAAGGAACCAAGACCCTCTGCACATAAGCCTAGGACGTTGTTGGAGCCCAAAGGGATGAGGCTCACTTGACTTAATTGGCCAATGAAAAGTCTGAACTTGGTTGTTTGCCACTAAAAACACATGTAAAAGTCCAGGAACTCAAAAGGGCAAAGGGAACCCACAGTTCTTTTCTAGGTCCTCCAGTAGAGAGGTTAGAATAAGGGTACCCTGATTTCTGTAGTCGATTTTAGTTTTTTTCGTGGAACCGTCCCCAAAAAAAGAATAAAAGGGCACTACTGGGAAACCTAGTGCTTGGGTCCCCGATTTTATGATGCACCCAGCTCACTTCCGTTGGCCGAAGTCCGAAACCCAAAGAGGTGGTGGTGCAAATCTCGATCCCGTGGTGCGCATCCCGCGCCTACGACCTCAGAGATCGATCACGCGCGCGGGCAGAGACCCATGGCACGTCAGGGAAAAACACCACGTGGCTCTTGGCGCATTTTTCGGTGTCCACGTCATTTCCCATATGGATTGGCCAAAGAAAAAAACGATTCTTTACTGTACTAAAATGGCAAGCAAACCCAAAGGGTACAAACAACGCCCTTTGGAATTCAGGAAGCGAGACCAGAAGAAAATGGTTGGGGTCCCCCAATTTTGATCATGGGAAGAGAACACGCTCTGTGAACCTGAGCTCTCGTTTTTGCTTTTTTCCCCAACAACTGAAAGCTTTGGGGTCTCAGCCCAGATAGGCTCCGGGGTGGTCCGGTGCGGCCCTGAGGCAAGGTTCCACAAGGGTTCCACCAGGGTTCCACGAGGATTCCACAAGGTTCTGCGAGGGCTGCGGGGTGGTGCGAGCACTAAAAAGAGCACCGTATGCTGTTGGGGATATCACCTGAGCTTCTTTTTTTCCCCTCCCCTCTGGGAGGGGTTTGCACAGCCTCTCTTGGGCATACATTCAAGCGATGCCTCCTGGGTTGCTCCAAACAGGCTGGCAATGGAGAGTTGGCAACTGCCATTGCTTTTGATCCTTTCATGAACTGCGAATATTTATTGACCTGGACTCTCAAACTTGGCAATTCCAATTTTTATGGATCCCAAAGGATAAGCAGCAACCATTAAAAAACACTTGCCACTGAGGGTAGGATCTGGTGAGGCGATAACATCCCGGATAAATATGATGTGAAGCATGGGATGCGTCTTTTGTTAAACTCGTTCTTGCCTTGCTAAGAACGGAAGCCAAAGTGCATAATAGCGCCTTTCGGGTTTTCTCGTGGTTCCTTGGCCCTTGACCGAACCACCCCCCTGGGATTCCAGAAAACCCCCGGAACGGGTTTACCCGAAAAGGCCGGGGGTTCGGAGCTCGGCTTGCGAGCGTTGGCCACGGGTTTCCGAGGCACCGAGGATGCGGTCCACTCGAGATCTTGGTCAAGGCCCAGCACTTGAGCAGAGAACCTCAGGCTGTCAGAAGGAAAGTGAGGGTTTCCCAACTCATTCAGCTGATCCCAACTCATTCAGCTGATTTCCCAACTCGTTCAGCTTCTAGGTCCTCCAATAGAGAGGTTATTTTCGTAGGGCTTGAAAGGGCACTGGGGGAAGACTTGCTGGGGACATTGCTTTGACTATTTCTATGGGTTCTTAAAGTTAGTACCTGTTGCGAATCATTTTGCAGAAAAACACCCTCCTTTTGAATTTTTCCTGAAAGCTGCCCCACCTCAGCTTCCAGCTGTTGGGGGAAAAAGCCGTCTTACCGGGTGTCTGGACTTTCGCTTGGTTGGCTCCATTATCCACGGAAGTAAGTACCAACTCCGCTTCCCTCCAAACGCTTTTGGAGCCCGGTGGCTTCGTGATTTTTTCGGGGTTGCAAGAACAGGATCCAAATCCAAATCTAAACCCCAAGGGCTCCAAACCAATTCAGGGCTACCTGAAAAGTTACGTACCCAAACAAATCGAACCCAAAGAACAGGAGACTCCTCGGACCCCCAGTTTGGCTTCGGTCTTCCATTGAAACGATTGCTGCTTGAGGTTCATGATTATCCCTAGCAAAAAGGTCTGGTCATGGCGCAAACAGTTGCATGGATACTGTGAGGGCCTCAATAATTAAAACTGGGTTGTGGGTATGCTAATCCATATTATGTCATCATCAACTCATAGCACAGTATCTAATTACGTAGCCCCGTAAATGAGTACGGGTAAATGTTGGGGGTCCTGCAAATTTCCGTTTGAGGCAATTTTAGAACATGTAGCTAAATCCAACACAACACCCCCTATCAATTTCATTGCCGGGTGACAAGCCCTTGCCAGGCATGGCCGCGAGCAAAAAGTCATACCCTCCACACTCCGTGATGATGCAGTCCTGAGGTCGCCGCTGAAGAGAGACATCAAACAACCATCTCTACTCTTGGTATGGTAGCGAAAAACTTTGTTTTTTGCAGACCCCCAGTAAAAATGAACAGAACCAAACAACTAAAAAAAAATGCCAAGAGCCAAGAACAGTGAAGCAAAACTTCTCAGTTGCTCAAGGGGAACCTCGAGCATGGATGGTTTGCCTTTACTTTCCCTCTACAGCAACCCAAACATGTTACCATCAACAAAACAACACGATCGCATACCCCTTGCTCCTTGGTTGCCTTTGGCTATGCACACAAACGCACACACACACACACTTGTACACATTGAACAGGCACTTGCTCAAATTTTACGCGCAGAAGGCCTGCCACGGGATAATGAATACCTGGCTCGACATTGCTAAAGTAGTAGGGACCCGGAAATCGAAGCTTGCCGTGGAACCTTGCCAAATGACTCCAATTTTTCATATCTAGCAGGCGACCAACCAAGCGGACCACCCTTTGAAGTCCAAAAGGGAAATAGCTGGTTACCCACTATACTGGTAGTTGAGATCCGCTAAGTTGACGAATGGCCAAACCTTGGAAAACGACGAGTGGGCCTTCGCCACAGGCCATCTTTAGCTTCCAATCCGAACATGACGTTCTGGAAAGGGGCCGGTCAAGGTGCATATGGTTTTCAAATTGCGCTTCCATTCAGTCTGTAACAGTCTAGGGGAAAAAGGCCACTGGAATGCCAACCGAAATAAAACGCTGACAAGGTTGATCAGGCCCCAATAAAACAAACCACCATTACTAAAGGTGACCAAAAGAACATGTTATTAAAACTGGAGGAACAACAACTGGTAGTCCCAGTGATTCCATTTCCCTGTGTAGGTAACCAAGGGCTTGCCCGATATAAACAACCAAGAGGACAATGGCGAAGGGTTGCCCACCATCGTGATAACTGGCAAGCACTGGGCGTGGTAACTTAGCTATTTGGGGCAAGCCCCCAACAGCTCGGAAAAGCCGGACTGACCGGTTTTTTGCAAAGGAGCCTCGCCCCAAAAAAAACGCGGAACCGCTCTAATATATTAGGTGTGTCTTTCTTGGGCCCCGCCCGAATTTGGTTTTCCTTAAACACCACAACAACCTTGGTAGCCCCAAAAACAAAGACACATCCATGTCTGCCCCCCGACAAGTCCCTAAGAACATTTTGTAGTTGGATGGAACTTTCGAACCCTTGGTATGGGAAGCAAACAACTGACGGCTTTTTGCAGCCCCCTACTAAAAATGAACAGAGCCAAAAACACCTAACGTCTAAAAGCATGCCAACAGTGAAGGATTGATGGACAAAGAATGTGCTTCCAAAAGTCTAAGCGGGGTGTCCCGAAACTTAGTTGGGCTCCTCACTTCAGGGAACACCGCCATAGTAATAAGCAGGGGGTCAACATCACCAAACCGCGCAACGATTTTCCCTATTGGTTTCCCCTGAAAAAGCAAGAAAAAAGAAGGTTCCCACCCAAAAACCAAGACCAACACGATATGTCCAAGTGGCCACGGAGCGCGTGCGCCCCTCAGGACACGCAGCACCTCCGAAGGCAGCCTCGCGGAGCACCGTCCGCCGCCTCAAGACCGGTGAAGGCTCAGATGCCTCGTGGCCATGGGGAAAAAGGGCTTCCTTTTTGGGTTGGTTGAGTTTCAAGAGGAACCCTTCCCCAGAAAAAGGAAAAAGGGCGCCACTGGGCAAGTGGGAAGGGGTTCAAAATGACTAAGCAATCCAAGCCACCAATGAAGGGTTCCCTGATATATGTCGTGGATTTCCATGGAACAGAAGCAACGGGGACTCTTTCTTGGCAATTGAGCTTTTCTTTAGCGAAACCCCTTCAAACATAAGGAAACAATTAAGCAAGCGACTGGAAGTCTGCGCTTCTCGCTGATTCTCAGCTGACTCGCTTGTTTTTTGGCTTGCAGCCTACTGAAAAAAAAGAAAAAAAAAAAAGAACCAACAAGCAACAACGTAACCAAAGTACCCATCCCCTTTTGGCTTCCCGTTGGATAAAACGGAAAACTTACGGCCTAGCATCTCGAACCGGACTCGCCGCGTCTCCCTGTCTCCCAGTCTCCCAGTCCGAGTCTCTGTCGGACCTGGCCGTAGCCGCAACTCGCAGAGCAGGGCGCCTCGTCGATCCACTGGCCTCGTGCAGGGCGGCGCTGCCGCTACCGTTATGGAATCCTACTGTGGATGGACGAAATCCTGCACCTCTTTGAAACCATGGGAAACCATTGTCCGTTGGTATTTACGAGGGAATCATCATTCCTAGGTTTCTTAATCTTAGGTGGTGCAGGATTTCGTTCATCCACACTAGGTACAAGGCAGGTAGTTCAGAGCTCCTCTCAGGTTCCTTGGTCAGGGTTCCTTACAAATCCTAAAGCCTTGGGGATCCACCCAAACTTCTTGGAGGGATTCCCTAATGTGAGGGTCTTCATGATTAGACAAGGGTTGGGCCAGTGCTTCACACACCACCAAGGAAAACTCGCCTGAGCGCCCGAAACCCTTTGGCTCCTTTGACTATTGATTGCAACATGGTTTTGAGAATTAGTTGTGGTCAAGGCCTGGCTATAACCCCCATGACATATCTTGGTTGCTTTCTGTTCCCCTGCTAAAAGTTCAACTTTTAGTGGTTTAATGGAAACCCCATTAGTTGGCAGAAAGTTGAAGTCCTGGCAGCCAAGCAAAATGCACCAAAGATATAAGGCCCTACAAACAACAACCCATGACACCAGGCCGTAGAACCTACGATAGTCCGACCCTTCCGAAAGTTTGGGGCGCTGAACCCGGCAACTGGGCTGACCAGGGCACCCATCAAGCAGTCGGTGGCTTCCTCCGGACAGGGCTGGTCGAAGCAGTCCTTGGAGAGCCAATGTCTGGGCCAGGAATCCTTCCATTTGCTTAAGCCCCCTGGAACAAATGAAACTATTTCCAGTAGTGATAGATTCCCTTCAAAACCAGCAATGCAAAGTTTACCCCCCCCCCCAAAAAAAAAAAAAAACACTAAGCAAATCGTTGTATCTAAGAACTAGATACGAGAACCGGAAATCCTTGTGTTTGGTGGACGTTTGACTATGAAGGTAAGCTCTTAACTCACTTCGTGAATGGGGTTGACTAGGAAAAGTACGGTTTGCTATTTGTTGGGGCTCCCCAGTCAAGACCTGAAAAAACGGAACGCAAAGCATGGCGTTTTGGGTTGCAATAGCAAAATGCACGCTCCCACCGACGTGGGAGCTGACAATCGATCGGGCTTTGGACAACCCTCCTTTCAAAACGCCCCCTGAGCCTGCGCTTCCATTGGGCAAATCGCACCCACAAATACGGAGCATCCCCCAAATGACCTGCGCTGGTTTCAAGCCCCAAGCTCGCGCTGAGAAGGGGGAGGGTAGGAAGCCTCACTTGCTTGAAGAGCTTGACAAGTGCTTCGTTGACGTTGCACGGGGAGCAACAAAATATAAATTGTAACAGTCAAGTGGTTGGATTTCCCACTAAACCAAAATAAGCAAAGGTCCTCCAGTAGAGAGGTTAGAAAAAGGGCACCAACTCTTTTCTGTAGTCTATTGTAGGGGAACCCTCCCCCAAGAAAGAGTCAAAGGGCACTGCTGGGGGACCTAGAGTAGGCTGGAGTCCTTCACATGCTGCGAAATACCCAACCATCGAATATGACGATCCGTTCTGTTGGGAAAGCCGTCGGAACGTCCACTCTGATGCTGGGAAAAAGGGTCAACATCAGCCTTTCCCGAAGGAAAGGTGATGTTTTCCGACCGCGTGACTAATGTCCGCCTAACTGCCGCTGAATAATTCTAAACTTCTCCCCAAACTTTGCACCAGCAAACAAAGGCCCTAGTTGTCAATCAGAGGTAGACATGATCTTCGATTTGCTTTTTCGCCCCCTGCTGGAATAAATGACAACATAAAAGTCCAGTAGTGAAATCGATTCCCTTCAAAACCAACAACGGACAATATTGATTTCAGGAAATGGAAACTATACTTCCGCAATTTAGAACCTGAGCAATTGGTCTTGAATCCCGAGCTTTGCGCAAGTGTCTTACCTGGAAACCGACCCCCACGTTTCTCCTTACCGAACCTCCTTACCTCTCACTAATTGACATTGACCTTCGGGGCGTCCTGGCTTAGACGTTGCTTTTAAACGGACCATTTGAGTCACAATCAAAACCTGGTACTACCCAGTGCTTCCTCGACCGTTTTTTAAATAGCCTCGACCGTTTAAAAAACGAAAGGCTATTAAACAAATGTCCCTCGACCGTTTTTTGGAGAGCTGGGGAATCTGGGCCAACTTGAGCCTTCTGATCAACAGCTTGCTACTCACATCACGCCGGCACTTCCGCGCAGTGCGAAGATCAAGAACTTTATGCTGCTTTTACAACATAAGCTAAGAATTTGCAATGTAGTTTCATTCCATTTGAATAGCAAGGATTAACACTTGCAAGAGGACTACTAGGTGACTAAATGCCATGAGAGCTGCCTTGGCTACGCGATTTCTGGGTGACTTTCCTGATCTTGGAGAAGGCGCACTTGCTTTGCATTTGGCTTGGCAAGGAACACGTGCAAGTTGGCCAATCGATTCTTGTACAAACTGCTGTCGCTCCCTTGATCTCCGTGGGCTCAAGTTTGGGGCCGCCTAGAAAGAGTGATCAAGGGGTTCACTCCAAGAAATAGGTTCATGCTCAGGGAACAATTCTGACTTTTTTAACTTCAGTTCCTGGACACCTGAGACGCACTCCGCACTCCCTGTTTGTCCACGATGGCGCCGACAGTCCGCCCGGGGATGGTTGAGCTCCTGAAGGCATCATTCATGAATTCATGATTCAATCGGTGTACTGGTTGGTATGCAATGCAGCCGTTCAGGCATTCTACACCGAGTACATCGAGTCTCAAGAGGCGTACGTCGCGAACCGAAGGAAAGATATCAAAGCTCGTCTCGGCATGTCGCTTAAGGACCGCAGGGTCGCTAGGCGAATGTTTTGCACAAATGAGCGTAATGAAATTCCTTCCTCCGGCAGCTAAATTCTTTGCGAAGTTGGCATGATGCCAAGGTTCCAAAGTTCACTTTTGTGGAAATCACTCCCGTTGACGGGAAGAAAACCTTGGAGATATCTGAGGCGCAGGCGCGAACGTAGCCAGTGCGCGTGCTTGTGAGCTTGCTGTTGCAGCGATGGTAGGTGGCGCATGACACTAACTACCCCTTGGTTGCCAACTACCTGGCAAGCTTTGCAGCTCGCTTACCCCGCAAGCGTGAAGTGGAGGCGTGTTGAAATTTGCTTGACCTTATGCTTATCTGAGCTTCCTTGCTCCAGGCAGCGCTAGAGCACATGTCCAAGTTGCACAAGCTCAATCCCCAGTTTCGTGAAGACTATGAGCACCAAGCGCGGGTGCCCAGGACAATAGATCGACCTTGCGTGCATTTTGAACCATGCGTGTTTAGATCACCGAGCTAATGCGATTGCACCCAGGCTTGGAGCATAACAGAGGGGTCTTTGCACCGCGGATTGGCCACCTACGCAATGAACCGGTTCCAACGCAATGTGGGGTCTAGGCCGGAACTCGCGCATACTGCCACACATATGCAGGCATGCATACATCTGGTCAGGCCAAAGCATGAGCAGATGGTCGAGCTGAAGCAGATTATCCGCACGGTGTTGCAGGCCATTTTTCGGTTTCAACGATCATACATCGAAACAAGCTAGCGCCTTGCAGGAAGCGGGCCTTCTCCGAGAAGATGGCAAAAAGGTCGCGTTCAGAGGCCCCCGTGCAAAAGGCATATCTCAGGAGCGGTATATATGCAAAGAACTTCTGTCACGTTTGACGCATGACAGCGTTTGCAAAGAACTTGTGTCACGCAGACTTAGCTAAGCATCTTGTTGGAGGCGTTGTGAAAATGTTAATCATCGTTCCTATGCAGCACGCATTGTTGACCTGCCGTCACGCTAACTGCACCACGTTTGCAACTGCAGTTGCCCCAGCTGATTCAATGTTCTTCTGTTGCCCTCTGGCAGTGGGTGTTTTGCTCAGCTGTTCTGGTTGTTGTTGCAGTTGTTGCTGTTACTGTGCCTGTTGCTGTTGCTGTCGCCGTCACCGCTGCCGCTGCTGCTCTTGTCATTGTTGTTGCTGTTGTGGCCGCTGGTGCTGTTGTCGTTGTTTTTGTCGCTGTTAGTTGTTGTTGTGGTTGGGGTTGTTGCTGCTATTGTTACGGCTATTGCTCTTGTTGTTGTGCTGCTGTTGTTGTTGTTGCTGCTGCTGCTGCTGTTGCTGCGGTCGTTGTTGTGGTTGCTGCTGGCGTTGATGTTGATGTTGCTGTTCCTGCGGTGGCGGTGGTTGTTGTGGCGTTGTTGCCGTTTTGCTTCTCTGTTTGCTTTTGCTCCTCGTTGGAGTTGCTGTTGACGTGGCTGCTGCTGTTGCAATTGTCGTCGTTGGTGTTCTTGCTGATCATGTTGTTGCACATGCTACACGTTGCGGTTATGGCTGTTGATATTGTTGTACGCTGCTTTGGGGCGGTTGCTGTGTTTGAGGATGATGATGGCCGGTGGTACGATTTGAACGTTTTGTGGCATGAACTTGTCGCGCTATGGGCTTTGCTCTTGTTTGTGAGCTGGCTTGATGTTTGCCTGCGAATTTGTATTTTGGCCACTGTGCTACCAACACAACTTTGGCAGCACGAACGGCAGTTGAGGCAACATGCATGTGTTTAAAAACCTGAAAGCAAAACACAATGCATGTAGAAACAATTCTAAATCACAAACATAAAATGTGTCGCCCTCGCTACATGGTGCACAACGAGAACAAGAATGACGGTAAGCGCAACTCCCCGCAACAACAGCGTCAAGATATCACCATGCGAGACTTGGAATCAACATCACCAGGCACACCAACAACATCGTCTCCTGGCAGCATCAGCGTGATCGTTCTCACTAGAAGCAACAGCAAGCACAACAACGACAACGACGACGACGGCAACAACAACAAGCGACGACAACAACAACAACGACAACGACAACGACAACGACAACAACAACAACAACAACAACAACAACAACAACAACAACAACAACAACAACAACAACAACAACAACAACAACAACAACAACAACAACAACAACAACAACAACAACAATAATACACTATATGACTGAAACTACAACAGCCACAACCACCGCCACAACCACAGCAACAACAGCAACAGCAGCAACAACAGCAACAACAGCAACAACAGCAACAACAGCAAAATAAACAACGACAACGACGACGACGACGACAACAACAACAACCACCACCACCACCACAACAACAACAGCAGCATCAACAGCAGCAGCAGCAGCAACAACAACAACAACAACATTAGCACTTACTTGTTTGTTTGCTTGTTTGCTCACTTGGTGGAGTGTGTTTCTTTTCACTTGGCGAACGCACATGTCCTCCCGGTTGTGTATCCGTGTGTACCTGTAGACCTTTAGCCCTACCCGCCATTGCCCAGAGGAAAGCTTGAATTCCAGCAGCGCCGGCAGCCTCAGCAGCAATACAACAGTGGAAGGGCTGGACGCGCATACGCAGAGCGAGGAAGAGCTGGCAGACCTGGCGGTCGTCATTTCTGACGATGACGAGGCAGACGAAGAGGACTTGTCCGTCAGCTGCCACGATGACGCGGTAGCCTTCTCACAGGAGCCTTTAGACGAGGACGAGGCGGAGGGCCTGCTCGAGGAAAGCAAGCCACTGAGTGGCAGCGGAGGTGGCTGTGGCGAGGCGGCTGCGCAGGACACAAACGATGGACAAGACCAGCTGCTGTTTCCTGACACGCAGCCCGACAGCATGGCGTTCCTTACTGAGACTGCTGCTGACGTTGAA